GAGGATGTGGCTTGCGGAGCCAGCGTTTTCCGGTTGCGATGGTGCTTCGTCGTTCGCATCACCCCTGCACTGCCAGATCCATGTCTCGTGCGGTCCGGCGAATGGCGCGCAACGCTCTCGTGACGATCACTTCGTCCTCTCGCAGAACGTGCTGGTCGATATGCGTGAAATGCCCTTGGGCGACCACACCCAAGCCCACTAGCTGCTGCCTCTGCCTTGGCTGAACCTCGCACAACGATACCAGCCTTGTCGCATGCAATGCCTCCGCAAGCTCCTCTCAGCTCCAAGAGTCCCAGCCCGAGCTACCTGCTTGCTGCCGCTGGCGGGGTGGTGGACAGCTGCGCGTTGATTGCGTCTTGTTCCGCGGTAGCTCTGCTCGGCAAAGCCAATGCCTGCGCGGTCAACGAAGAGGAGGAATCTGGAATCTCACGGGGTGAATCAAAGTGGTGAGAAACGGACGTGGTGCGGCGTGCTAACTATCAGCACCAGCCCAAAACGTGCTACTGTCCACAGGCCTGCGCGTAGGGCGAAACACTGGAATGCTGCCCAGTGCCTAGGAAACATTGTTGCTCCGCGCCCACCAAAAATCATCTCGTCCTCGGCCTCGATGGCGCGAGTACGAGTACCTGCCAAACACGAGTCCGAGCTACTGCACGGCGCTACGTCGACCAGATCGCATTGAATCCTCCATCTGCTGCTTTTAGCTGTGCGAGCCCTCTGCCGTAACTTTGCCACCACACCTCGAGGACACTCCCGTGTCTATAGCTCTGCACTGTGCTCGGATGACAGAACTTTGCCATCGACCACCGTATTTGCCACTCCAAGCCTGCCGCTTCATGAGTACACAGATACGCGGGACTACATGTATGGCGGCGCGATACGAAGACAGCATTGCTACCGGGATCAGTACCACATGATGAGGCACAATCACACAATGGGAAGCTACGGTGTGCAATGCTTGCCAGGCACGAGCGCACATGAACGAAAGACCAGACCACGTTCTCCAGTTCGCAGCATCCCACTCGCAAACAGCCTATATCCTCCCACCCTTCATGCAGCCACGCAGCTATACCCCGGTACACTCAGCAGCGGCCCTGGACAGCCGCCATCCGAGTTGGGATCCTGTGCATTGCCGACCTCACATCATGACGAGGCTTCCTGCTGAAACTTGCATTGCACACAGCTTCACCGTGGCTTGGTCTGCCGTTCACCAAATACGCCCTTCGGCGTCCTGTGGACTGCCCGAGCTGATCGGGGTTTTTTCCGGACCTCATTCTGTGCCTCGTCCTTACCCCGCGCACGACCACGAACATGTTCGGAAAGAGCAATTCGCATCAGTACAGTCACTTCCCACGCTAGTGCACTGACGGCAAGAACAGCTTTAGATACAGACTTGTCGTGGACATAGGTAAAGGCCGAAGCCGGTACGTCTGAATACTTTCAGCAAATACACCGCTCACGGGTATGGCACCGCCGCCGGATTATGCCTTTGGATGCCAACGGAGATTTGAAGCCCACCCACCCAAGATCTCGCCTCGCGTAGCACAACAGTTCTCCCACCCCATTCGTCCTGTGCGCATGAGATACCACAATGCATGCTCCAGCGCTGCGACCAGCACACATATCTGGATCAGCAACATGCATCAGACACGCGTCCAGCGAGCCAAATTCTGAGCGCATTATGATTCGTCGATTGGAGCACCTCTCGACCTGGCTGCGAAAGCGATCATGCTAAATCCCAGGCGAATTGCAACGTTGCGTCAATCAGATTTCACGAAATGTTGCACGCTGTGGTCAGCCATGCGGCGGGTAAACTGGATCTCACTCTCGATGAAACACGACGAGGTCGCAGTTCAGATACTCCACGATCTTCTGCAGCTGGATCGACATCTTGTTTCCGCGATGAACCCAGTATCCAACAGCTCCGTCAGAGCTGAAAGTTGTATTACCACGTTACCTCATCAATTGCAGAGCCCATGTCGAAAGGTCTTCTTCACATGCTCTCTCACACCACCCGCGCAGCCCAGGCATCGAACCTCCCACAGACTGCAGAGCCGTTGCTCAATCATATTGCCGACATGAACGAACACCATCTTCGCTTGCTCATAGTGGCCAATGGCGCTCGTGAAGCACCTCTCACCTCCTGACAATGACTTCATGTCTGCATGATCACTATATCCAACGACCCCGGTCACGACCAGTCGTCACCTCGTGGGTACATCGTGCGTTCGTGTTGCCGGAGCACAAAACAGGCAAGATCCACCTACATAGCCACAAACTTGTAAACTTGTAGACGAAACGCCTTGGCAGGGATCTCAAGCAACTCAACTGACCAACCAACGAACGCCGAACCATCAAACACAAACTACAGAACCAGTTGAGAGAGCGTGCCACCCACGCAGCGCCAGACGTCCAACGCAAGAATTGCGAAACACCGAACTTCCCTTCCTCCCTCCGTGAACCGCGCTCGCGTGCCCGGCGCGAAAGGGAACAGGAGTGCAGGACACGTACTTCTCAAAAGGGTAATTTCAGTAGATCTTCATCTCGCGGCCCGAGCGCGCACCAAAGATTGAAGTCCAAAAGAAGGGGATCCTACCCACAATTTTTTCTGTTACCTGTTGAGTGCGTCTGCCGTGCATCATGAGTCGCCCTTTCCGTTTCGCGACTTTCTCCTTTTGTCGTGTCCGAGCCGCGCTGCACAGATGACGTAGACCGTTTACGATGGTGTTGGCGGCAAGGCGGTTGTTCTCGTCATCGAGATTTGAGTTTCAAGGAAGGGATGCCAAGTGTGGACTTCCGATGATTCTAATGGTAATAAGTTGTTGATAAGTCTGTAATGATGTGTAACAAGAAGAGAGCCGAAGTTCTTTTGCCGCTGTGGTTCTGAGCACAATGATAGACCAGGTGTCAAGTCGAACAACACATGTTTGGACACGAGGCGCAGGAACATGAGAACCCTTCCGGCTCTAAATTAAATGAGAACGACAACGCACGCTATGAAAAGTGATGCAGGGCCGCAACGGAAAGCGATGAGAAACTACCGTGAGAGTGTGAACGAGGAAGGAGTCTTTTCCTGGAAGCAGTGGGCGAACCGGAGTCAGAAGATTCGCTTGGTCTGGTTCGCACAATGTCAAAATCGATAGCAGTGGTATCTTGTCCCGTTCCCCAATAACGCCTCGCAAAGCCCAGATGCAGCCAAAGCAGATTACCCTGATCCGTAGCCAAAAACCATCCTCATCAACATTCATGAATCTATCGTCATGATCATGGCCGTCATCGATAAGGACTCTGTTGCTGTTCACCTTGCACGCCTCCCCATACATTCCACTGTTGCTGCTGCTGAGGCGGAGGCTGCGGACTTTGCCCACGATAGAGAGGATGCACATCGCCCTCTCTTCCCACAGGTATTGTCGAGCCAGGCGGAGGTCCAATGCCAGGATGATACCCTACGGCCGGCGCCGTGTCTTCATGCTCATCTCTCCAATCTGAAGGTTTCATGTCTAAGCCGCCAGTCATAGCAGCAGGAGGTGGAGAGTACCTCCTCACGTCGTAATGATCGTCCTGATGGACTTTCGCAGGAACTTGCGCCCCACCAAGGAGGCCGGTTCTATCGTCTTCACCATCTAAAGGCGCTGCTGCGGCGTGCCGACCAGATGGTCGTTGCAGCTCAGTTGCGGTCTCTCCATTTCCTGCGAAAGAAGGTCCATTGTAGCCAGTCGTTTGCTCGGTCAACTTGTTCGCGGGCATGTAGCTCGGATCATTATGTCTCTTTCGGACACCCACGAATAGCCATCTGAAGCCTCTTGCGCTAGCGGTGATGATGTCCCACGGATTGAAAGAATCTGCGATTGCTCTCCAGCCCATGAAGCCGCCAGTATATCTTGGTACGTTTCCATCTCCATTGTAGGAAGATCCCGTTGCAAGCTTCGGATTATGTTTGAGTGAGTAGGGCTTCCATGGGTACGCAAACATATGCATAACTGCGAAAATGGCCATCTCCACGCAAAGGAGTACACTGGGGATGCCGATTTGGATGTCTCCTTCCGCAAGCTTCTCCGTGGGTTTCAGCACACCGACCGATTCAGAGGATAATAGTGATATGACTATTGTTTGCCAGAAGGAGAAAAAGATGACGAGCTTGATGCTGAGGACTTTTAGGAAGGGCTTGTGTTCGGCGAGATCCTCCTTAAGCTGGATGTAGAATTGGACCACCATAAACATGGCAATGGTCACCGAGATACACTCGAACACCAGGACCCAGATGTGTGCGAATGCGGGCGACAGAGAAGCTTCGCAGTATTTGTCGAAAGCCTGCGTGATCACGGACACGATTGTGAAGAAGACTCGAATGAAGCAGTATTGGAAAATGCCTGCAGTAGACAGTCAGCCGTTGCCATGAGCAATACCACGCACGTTGCTTCCCACTCACCGACCCATATCACGTTGAACCACGTCAATCCGCTCCTGGGCTTTCTAAATGGCCCTTTGTTCTCTCCTCCCGTACATTTCTGCAGCCCAAAAACTCCCCAAAACCAATTGACAGGTACCACATGCCGAAAGTATCCCTTCTGATCATGCAGCGTCGGCGCACAATAATGGCACAGCAACGCGAAGAATGAGCTGATCGCAAACGCTTCATAGCAGTCTCGTAAAACATCAAAGTACACCGCGTGTCGATAGTAGAGATAACTCAGGAAGCTGACGACGGAGTACACTGGCACCATGAATAATATCCTTATGATGTGTTTTTGTTCGCCAGGAACGAGGTAGTGTGTTGCGTGTCGCCAGATGAGGAAGAGTGATATTACGACTGAGATCAGGCCGAATATTGCGGAGATTAAGAGGCCAAAGTGGTGGAATGTCATGCCTTTCCATAGTGGTGTTTCGTGGATGTACGCATCTTCGAGCGTGGTGTTGCAGATTGCCATTTTCGATTTTCCCGGCCGCTTGGATGCGATTGTGTCAAGCAGAGCGACGTGCTACCGCGAGATGAGTGTCACCATCGGTTGTCCGCGTGTACACTCAAGTATGTGGTGCCCAGAAGCCACGCTCGTTCTTCCTCTCCCACCTGCAATGTCTGTCCTGTTTTCAAGCTCTTGTTGTGTTGCGTCAACTCAGAATGATGTCCTTGTGTACGGCCGGCCAGCAGCTTATGATGTTCCTTCCCTCTCGTGACGATAGCAAAGCCACTCTATTCTTGTCGCTTCGTCGAGCAACGCAAACTCGGCAGTGCAAAGTGGTATCCTCCGGTACTTCCTGGCTTCCAGGGTCGTTTTATAGACTAAGCCTCGCGCAGCTGCAGGTTGTGTCTCGGCGCGTTGCTTGATCGGTCTTGTCTCTGGCCTCGGCGACGTCGCACAAGTTCCTTCGGAGTCCCTGTGTCGTGTTCTCGCGGGCCAGCGGAGTTTTGATGTTGCGCGATTATGTTCAGGCTGTGACTGGGCTAGAATTCTCTGTTGCGCAATTGAAGGAGGCTGTGCTTGTGTGAGAGTTGTCGCACTGAACGAGTCCGGGCGGGTGTGCCGAACACGCGGACGCGGGCGAGCGATGATGATGTGGCTGAAGAGCAGGGATTGGTTTCACGAATTCACGCCAGATCTTCATGCCATCTCCTGCAAATTCACTATTTTCTCAGTGCTGACAACTCGGACTCTGGGTTGGCGGTTCCGCTGAAGGTCTCGTTCGTTCAATGCGCGGTAGATGGCTTGGGAGACAGGACTTTCACTTGATACCCACAACGACCAAGGCCGACGAACATTTTCTCGCCACAACCCTATTGTTCCGGTCGTTCGACGGCATGTCAACCTCTCGTGACCAGCAAGTAGGATAGCAGCGAAACATAGCAAGATACTGCAGTGTGTACACCAGACTCTCGATCTCCACAAGCTTGCATTCTCCTACACATTGCCATAAACGTCCTACCACAACTCGCTCACACGCAATCGGTCTTGCCTGCGGTAAACTTTCCATCCTTGCTATCCTCACACCCACACTCTCCAGTGTTCGGATCCTTGATACATCCTACCCCCTCGCCAGGCTCAGCGCCATACCCTTCCTCCCAGAAGAACGTCCAGTAGTTCACATCATCCTTCATTTGTCCAGGCGTCGCGGGAGGCTCGCAAGTGTATGCGGAGCAATTGCCGTATGGAGCACTAGGAAGTGTGAGCAGGTGTTACAGACAAGGCACTGGTGAGTAGCATCTCGAGTAATGACTCGAGTATGAAGTCGAGCGCATGCAGCAGGGACAGCTTACCCATGGTTGTCATCATACTGATGATCAATAACGAAGACAGCGAACGTCTGTTTTTCGTGGGTACGCGTGTTGTGAGAGCACTCAGCGGCTTGGATTGCTATTGACTTCTTGGTGGCATCGCAGTTGTATTTTGTTGGGCGTTGTCCTTCAGAGTGGGAAAGAGCCGGGTCAAGGGTTGCTGTGACGGTACATGCCAGTGTGGCCGCCAGAGCTGTGACGATAGTGAATTGCATTTCGATGTTCTGAATGGGTTGCAGGATGTGACAGGAAGGAACAGAATCTAAGGAACGTAGTCAATAGTTTCACCAGGAAACAATTTTGGAGGTATGTTCAAGAAGAGAAAGTGCCAAAGGACGAAAGGCTCCCTTATAGGGGACGCAACAGTTCATACGGATGATGCGGGAACTGTGGTCCAGACTCTACGACTGTCTTGCGTAGAGCGCCCGTACCCATATTTCAGCACCAGCAGATCTCGCGCGTTTCAACTTTATGGACATGTTTCGGTGGTACTCCGGCCCAATGCCAATGCATAAGAGAACCGTGTCTCCGACTCCAGAACACCATCGCTGAAAAGGTCTTCTCCAAGTCATCCGTCATGCGCCATCCATGATTCGTAATCCGTAATTCGTAATCCGTCATCCGTCATCACTCCATCAGTCCGCAAACTGACGTGTGAGGTATCTTCTGAATCCTTTGTTCAACAAGGCCCATCCGCCTCCTGGATTCGACTCGCTGGGTGCCATCGGCAGCAGGTCAAACAGCTCCCAGCGAGCGTCACTTCCTCCACCGATCACGTACAAGGAAACACCATTATCGTCGTTGTGGCCTTCAGCGGCAGGCTGGAAAGCCAATATTCCCTTTGGTGGTCGCCCACTCGGGTCATTTGGAAGAGGCAACACCGGGTTCGTGACGCGCTTTTTCGTGCCGTTTGGTGTGACTGTCCAGATATGCTCTGGACCTCCTTGCCAGTGCGGCGGATCTGTGCCAGTGTAGAATGGTGCGGAAGCAACACTGCGTACGTCGCGGACTGCTCTTGGCATAAATGGGCTGAGCTTGAGAGCTGCCATTGCCGAGACGGCGGCATCTCGTGCAGGAGGCGAAGCCGATGTTGGTGGAGCCCGAAGGCCATAATATTCCTGAACACTGCCATGATAGCCAGTTCCGGGACCTCCGCCAATGGCGGTGGATGGCGCCGGAGATGCTAGACCTCCAGACATGCCCGAGAGTGAATCATGGTCAAAGCCGGTGCCTCCAGACAGGCGATGGTGAGCGTAAGATGGAGCTTTACGATGTTTCTTCTGCTCAGCTTCACGCTCTTGTGCCGTATTCGCAGCTTCTGCCGGATCCTTTGGGTGCAGGTCGAAGACGTGAAGCGTGCCTTTGTCACTCGTCGATGCCACGAATCTGTTGCCCGGGCTGAACGCCAAGCTATAGATGACTGAGTGGTCCATACCACGGCGGAATTCAGCCAGTTGATCTGTCGTTTTTGTGCTCCAGACACGTATCAGCGTCCCTTGCTCGCTTGTGGTTGCCAGTAGTGAACCATCGGACGAGAGTGCCATGCACCGGAGGGCGGAGTTGTGTGCTTTAAGCACCCGCTTTGGACATGCACCCTTCTCAGCCAATGTGATTAGTTGTACTTGCCCTGTGCTTTCTGCAGGTAGCACTAGCAGGTCGTCGCAGAGTGCTGCAAGTCCGTACGGGTTCGCTGAAGTCCGGTAGAGCGAGTGCGCTTTGTTCGGCGCAACGAATTTAGCGTCATGCACCACCTCAGTCTGATCAGAGCCACTGCCATCGCCTTGCGCTGGTGTGCGTGCCTTGTGTTGCAGCTCCTGGTACATGAACACTATGGCTCTCTCTTTGAGTACGACGGCCGACCATGAGTACCCCAGTCGCAAGCCTTTGATTGGCTCGTGAAGATCGTGTCTCTTCGTCTCCTGGCCGAGCACGGCATCATACCACACATAAATGTTGGGACTTGCGTCCTGAGACTTGTTCTTGGCTACGAAAGCAAACCATCTGTCGTCCAGAGCTTCTACAATCGCTGTGGCACCGTGAGGCGGAGAGTCCGCCCGGCGTGTGAAGAAGCAATTGTCTGTACGGAACGCGCGAAAGCCATCGCTTAGGCCAGTCACGAATCGCCTGCGTGATGTCGAGTATGAGATGGAGAGTACATTCGGAGTGTTCGACGGCTGGATAGCTTCACGCGTATTCATCGCGGGCTCTTCGACGTGTTCTGGAGTTTTGACTCTTTCCGAAGCTTCGATTTCAGCAATGCTTGCTTGCGGCCTATGTATCAAACTGTTAGACTATTTGCCATATCGACAAGGTCCGGCGGATCTTGGCAGGGTCGATGGCAAATCGGGCACGGAACGGCAATCTTGACAGGCAACGGCAAGGTGGTTGTCGACGCGCTCGGGCGTTTATCTGGGATGGCGGCGAAGGAGGGTGAAGTTGAAGTTGAAGACGAAGTTGCAGGTGATGGACAAGAAAGACATCACATGCACGCGTGAAGCACGCACGGACAAACGAAGTTGTTAGTGCTTGCCCCAGACCGCGAAAATGGATGGCGGCGGCAGCACCCGCCGCTGCCAAGCGCGATCCCTGTGCGAGCCCCCTTTGCGCGACTTCCCTTTGCCTGCTCCCCCCAGCACTCGCGCGGTCCACAGCAGTTGCCCGTTCGCTTGCTCGTCTGCTTCCATACATCGTCTCCTGCTGTCTCATACCACTGCCCAGCGGTCTGACTCGGATTCGTCTGTTTTGCCATTGCGCATCGGTCGCGAGAGCAAATGTGAGTTGTTTCCCAAATCCAATGGCCGCGCAATTCGGGGGAGGGCGGTGGAGCCACGTCGACCGCAATTCCAACACATGAGCAACTCCGCGCTCTCCATCGTTGCATATCCCATGCAGTAGCTGACAGTGGCATTATCAGCTCCATCCTCCTGAACATCCCTCTCGCTCCTCCGAGAACAACCGCTCAGGATAGCCTCCTGGCGCTCGAACTCGCCCGCTAGCACCAACATGTCTACCTCCACCTCCCACATCAAGCTGCGCCGCAAGAAGAATGTCAAGAAGGGTATTCAGTTCTGCCTGATGGTCTGTGGTGCCTCCGGCACAGGCCGAACGACCTTCGTCAACACTCTGTGCGGGAAGCAAGTCCTGCAACCCATGGATGCCGATGACCCGACTACTGCGCACATTGAGGAGGGCGTCAAGATCAAGCCTGTGACTGTGGAATTGGAGCTGGATGAGGAAGGCACCCGAGTGTCGTTGACCATCGTTGATACACCCGGCTTTGGCGATAGCATCGACAACGAGGCTTCTTTCCACGAGATAGTGTCTTTCTTGGAGAGGCAGTACGATGACATTCTGGCTGAGGAGAGCAGAATCAAGCGTAATCCTCGATTCCGCGACAACAGAGTCCACGTGCTCCTCTACTTCATCCAGCCCACAGGTGTGTCGAACCAGCATGCTCTGCAGTAGCGCAAGCTAACAATGATTCAGGTCACGGTCTTCGCGAGCTCGACATCGAACTCATGCGCCGTCTCAGTCCCCGCGTCAACGTTATCCCCGTGATCGGCAAGGCCGATTCGCTGACACAATACGAGGTCGCCGAGAGCAAAAAGCTGATCATGGAGGACATCGAGCACTACCGCATTCCAGTTTACAACTTCCCATACGATATCGAAGAGGACGATGAGGACACAGTTGAGGAGAACGCGGAGCTGCGGGGACTGATGCCGTTTGCCATCGTTGGATCCGAGGATGTGATTGAGATCGATGGACGTCGTGTACGCGCTCGTCAATACCCATGGGGTGTGGTCGAGGTGGAGAATCCCAAGCATAGCGACTTTTTGGCGATTCGATCTGCCCTGTTGCACTCTCACTTGGCGGATTTGAAGGAGATCACACACGACTTCCTCTACGAGAACTACCGTACCGAGAAGCTTTCCAAGAGCGTTGCGAGCGCCAACGAGGCATCTGGCATCACCACTGAGAGCGACAGCCTTGACCCACAGTCACTCGCCTCGCAATCTGTCCGTCTCAAGGAGGAGCAGCTGCGCCGTGAAGAGGAGAAGCTGCGTGAGATTGAGATCAAGGTGCAGCGTGAGATCAACGAGAAGAGGCAAGAGCTGCTTGCTCGCGAATCGCAATTGAAGGAGCTCGAAAGCCGAATGGGACGCGAACACACTCCGATCCAGCCAAGCGTCCACGAGGATGACGAGACCGACGCCGGCGCACAGCACTAGAAGCCTGGACAGATGGTGGATTCCCCCGCATAACTGCGCTATTACCTTTGTCTGCCAGCGTCTGGCGTGGCGATTTCACTCCTCCACGACTTCGGACGGGACAGACTATTCTGCAGCAGACAGATACCACTTCAGATCCTGTTTCATATGTATCTTGGCTTTTCGAGAGCGTTGTTTGGAGGCGAGCAAGTGCGAATAGCGGATGTAAAAGACAGCAATACCCAGACGAGTACCCACTTAGCTAGTTTGCCGTACTGCAGAAAGTAATATATTTTACATGTTGGTCATTTGTCCACTCCAGATCGAGGACAATTTTGCTCGCGTTTTGTTGGTCTCTCTGTGGTTGTGCATTGCAGCTTTCCACTCTCATACACGTTGCTCATGCGGATATGTACAATTTCCTGTGCAGTTGGCAGCCTGCGTCGGCATATTTTGCCTTTCATTCTTGGCTCGCTGTGACCTCCCTGTGCTCCAATACCAATTATTTCTGGCAGGCACTCGATCAGAGCATGATCGTACATTGCGGCTCTCGGCATACCTCCAACTCTTCCACCAGAAGAGCGCTGCTATGTCGTGGAGAAGCGGGCGTTTGGCCCTGTTCTCACGGAATTTCCTCCTCTCCTTGGCCCGTTCTATCGCTTCACACCGCATTCGGGTTCATAGGACTGGTGGTGCTTGCTGGCGCAGCTTCTTCCACTATTGTCTTGAAGACTTCAGATCCTCGACTGCCTGTGATACTGGTCCGTTGCCTGACCTGAACGGCGCGATGCGTTTCCTTATACGTTCCAAATTATCTTGTTGTTGCTGTTGTCTATCTTCTCTTGGTAAATGTGTTGGGAAGCGGGCGGCTTTGAGGGTCTGAGGGCCTGAGGGCAGATATCGTGGCTCGAGGAGACCGATCTGTATATTTTACTACAGTTAGCTTTCATGTGCAATCCACAGGGAAGATGTCTGGGATCAGGACTTACCATGCTCAATAACCTCCAAACCGTATCACTAGGTTGCGCTCCGACTCCCAACCAGTATTTTGCTCTGCTAACGTCGATTTTGATGTCTTTTTGTTTCTTTTGGCCAGGTTCGGCGCCTACAGGAAGTTTGGGTATGGGGTCGTATGTGCCTAGGACTTCCATGGGTTTGGAGTCGCGGGCGGTCTTGTCTTGGGCGAGGACGATGTTGTAGAAGGGAGCATGGCGCTTTGCGCCTGTGGGCGTGGAGACGCGCGCGAGACGGAGTCGGAGGACCATGGTGGATGTGTAATTATCTGGTGTGGTGGCAGCAATGCGATACTCTGTCCCTCGAGATGTCGGACGGAGGTGAACGAGTTCGCCGGTTGCTGCACGTGACTGGCGCGTTTACATGTGCAAGTGGCAGGCAAGCTCACGCGTTTCCCGTGAAAGTTGGCGAGACAGACTACCAACTCACAGCATGGCCACCACAACAATGTCTCGTCCCACGTCGATGGTCGAACGACAACCGAAGCGCAAGAAAGAGCAGCGTACCGACATCTGGTCGAATCTCCTCCGCCAAACCCGAGACGCCCAAGCCAGGAATCGAACACAAGCCGTGCAGCATCGGGAACTAATTGTCTGTGGAGGATCGCCTGACGACCAACGCTCCTTCATTCAAAGTCTTGCTCGACCGCCTCCTGCTCAACCCCCGACGAGGAACCAGGATAAACGGCAACAAAAGCCGAAAGGAGAACTGCGATTGAGCAACAAGTACGCGTATGGCTATGGGCATGTGACGCTGTATTCTCCGCCACAGCAGAGCGGGACTGGTGTACAGGTCCTTGGAGCAGAGTCGGAGGAAGTCGCTCGTCTGGAAGTGCATACATTGCCAGAGCCGACGGAAGAATATGCCGGGACACTGAGAGGGCTGTTGCAGGGCAAGAAGCATTCAGAGGGAGAATCACCAGACGCTGAGCAGAACGAGAGCGAAGACACCACCACAGAGGGACCTCGACTACCAGGAGTGTGCATACTGTTGAGTTGGAAGGAGCCTTGGAAGTTCTTAGTACAATTGAAACGCTGGCTACAATTACTCGCCCAGGCACTATTGCAACCGGGGATACCTGCAACGGACCCGCTGGACATATTGAAAGAGGCTCAATTGTCTATTACGGTGGTAGCACAGCATACCGAGGCACAAGAAGAGCTGTTCAAAGAGGGATACAAAGAGGAGGACTTTGACTACGTTTCCCAGTGCTTACGGACCGTGATACTTCCTTTACACCCCCTAAGTGCACTGATATACACCACGTCTGCTGCACCACCACAGCCACCCGGCAGTCCATTGAGTGAACCTCAAAAGGTCGTTTTCAACTCGATCGGACTAGATCTCGCCACATTGAGCCCGAAGAGGACCCGCTCCGGATCTGCTGCTGAGAAGAAGGAGGAGCTTGCTGTCAAGCATGAATTTATGGATCGCATGGCCATTGTGATTCCTGCTGGATGGGATAGTCCTGCTTTCATTCGGACTCTGAGTGAGACCTTCTCTCCTGAGGATATTGTCAATGGGTGGCTAGCCGATCTACAGCCTCCACCTCCTCCAAAACCACAGGCTTCACCGCCAACGGAGGATTCGAAATCAGGGGAGAAAGCAGCCAGCGGCGGCGCAGAGGTCTACGAAAGCTCTCCGGTCCTCGAAGATGCCGACGACATGGCAGAGCCGATGTCACCTTCAAAGATGCTGCCATCTGCTGTGCAGTCTTATGAGAGAAGGGTTCTCGATCCTCAAGCACACAAAGCGCCAAAGCCACCCCAGATCGAAGTGGTCACGAAACCAGATCAGAGATTTTTGGCTGAAATGCGAGAGCACCTCCAACAGCTTGAAGCTCAAGACCGTGAACGCGAGTCGAAGGGGCACAATTCTGGCGTATCTCACACAGGACTATCAGGCAGCTCGACTCGCGTTGGGGGCCTTCCAGCAGGCGAATCTACAGGCGCTCTGAGCGAACTCGGCGAAGTGTCGTTCAACGTAGGTGGTGTGAGCTACGACACGATTACCGCTGAAGCAGCTATCAACGCCCTCAAACGACCACAGACGAGAGATAATGGTGACGGCCCGATGAGTCCTCCTTCCAGCACGAGAACCCACACTCCTAAGCCAAGAGGGCCAGGCGGGAATAGAATTGATGCCAGCGGTAGTAAGGAGACACCTGGAAGTGGTATGAAGAGTCCGGAGAGTAAGGCTCCGCTCGATGTGGATAAGTTGGAGGAGTACTTCCAAAGTCTACTAAACAAGAGTGGTGGGAGTGGAAGCAAGAGCTCGACGCCATCGAAGAAAGCTGGAGAATGAAACGCCTGATGGTGAGCATGTATGAAGACAAAGCAGTGTAAGAGACGAGATACCCATTTAGCGCTTTTCTTTCAGTATTCAAGAGAGATCGAAAGTTTACGGCGTAGACTATGCGGGACTACCTGAAACTTTCGCGGAAAGGCACCGACGTGCACTAGCCCTCAGTGCTCAAGCCTGAGCAACTATTTACTTCCATGCCATCATAGGTCATCTCTTCGCACAAAGTTCGCTTTTGAACGCGGCTTCATCTTCCTGTTCACACTTCTCCCTTCCCTTCATCAGAGATATCCTCTCATTCTCGTCTTCTCCTCTCCTGCGCTGCATGTCCAGCTCTGCACATCAAGATCACATCATGAATCGAAGGATGGCGCGATTGGCCATCGTCCCTGAAAAATGGATCGTTGATGTACGGATTGAGAAGATGTACTAAGCTCAACGTTGAAGGAATGTCGTCTTCGAGGTCGGGTGAGTCGGGAGGAGAAGTGTTTGTCGAGGTAGGGCTTGTTGGGGTCGTTGCGGTTCTTGGGGTCGGCAATGTCGATGGGATTGATACGAGTGACGGAGTAGATAGACTTGCTGCTCTTGTTGCTGATGGAGGGGATGAGAGAGAACGTGATGAGTTCGTGATGGAATAGAAAGAGGAAGGTGGGGAGGGTATGGGGCGGCGGTCTTGCTCTGATGGCGCGATTGCGTTGCGACGCTGAGTTGTATCCTCTTGTTCCTCCTCTTCGTTGTTGGTTGGTCTGGGTGGCTGCTGAGGTGGTGCTGCTTGTTCGGGACGGACTGGTGAGCTGCGAGCACGATGAAAAGGCAGCCGTCTTCTAATAGCTCGTGCAAGGCGGCGTAGAGACATTCTCTGATCCGCCATTCTTCTGTTGGAATTCCAAGGAGGCTGTTGGCGATGAGAAAACCGGCTTCTCGATCGCTGAATAACCTGAGGAATACTGTTCCACTCTCGGTTGATCTGATGTCTGTTCGCTCTTGTGTAATACGCACTACGAGGACGAAAGCGTCTGGGAAGCAGATAAGACGCACACCTGTGCTTTCTTGTGCTTCTGTCTCGGTACTGAAGCACACAGCCTGTGATGAGTATGCTGGCAAACATGGCTTTCGGTAGCTCGCTAGAACGTGCAGTCTGTGGAAGCAAACAATGTGGTTTGCCCGATCGAGGAGGGTAGAAGCCTGGTTTTGTTATCGCATTGTTGCTCGCATCGTGATGTGCTGGCTGTGTCTTGTCAGTTGTCGTTCGAGACAGTACCAAATCAGAAAGTATTTTGTTTTGCATCATGAGTGTTGCAACACAAAGCGTGTCTCTGAGAAGTGAAACGTGCAGCGTGTTCTCTTTCTATTCTGTGAATGTTCTGGATTCGAGTACCAATTCCTTCCTTGATACCTTCTGACCGATTGCTTGCAGCTATTCTTACATCGAGGTCATAATCACTTTTAGTCGTGAGAGTCCAGACATGCATCAGCAGTGGACTCTTATCGTGATGCATCCAGAATGCACAAATTCTGTGCCAATGTCGACTCAGTTTAATAATGTCACTGGTCGTCTGCTACGAGTGCGGGATTTCGGCCTTGTAGTCCACACGTGATCGACTGAGAGCCGGCCTGTGGAGACATAGGATCCAAAGCACCAAGTTGTGCCGTCGATGCGGATCTCCTTTCAAACTCGCAATAATCTTCGTTGTCTTTCGTGCTTTTTCGAAATGCAGATAATGCTCACGGTAGAGCTTGGTCATTGCTGTCGTCAGAGTAGTCAATGCGCGATTGATCGCACGTAGTCTTGAGGTCCAAAGCTGTTCCAGCGTCTTGTTCATCCTCCGGAAGTGAAGAGGCCACAACATGGTGTTACGTCTCCTGAGAGAACCTTGCACCAAAGACAGTACAGCCGATGCATCCAGCGCCGTCTTCATAGATTGCTTTCTGCAACCAATTGGCAGGTGTCAATCACACCACCATCCAGAAGAAGGTACCGCTCAGACCGCCAACGACTAAGACAGTCAAGACCCAAGCGCCGGCTCGATCTGCAGTAGTGATAATGCCAGGCACTGTGTACGGCTCGTCGCCGCCTGTCCCGGCGTTGACGTCTCCTACAGACGTCGCGCCAGTTCCATTGCCGAGCGGGCCGCTGACCGCATCGATCATGTTCGACTGAATCACCTCGAGAGCATTCATTTGCTGTCCGACACCGAAGGCTCCGTCCCATTCGCCGTTGAGCCAGTCAGTTCCGCAAGTGGTTCCGTCGTCACCTCCAGTACACTAAATGAACACTGTCAGCCTCATTTTGAAGAACTCTCTTGTCGGTAGATCGTGGGATAGATATCATACCGACTTTGCAGCGGCTAACGCTGACTGCCTGATTAGAGGCATGATTTTGTCATGCGTCCATGGTGCTACCTTGACCGAGGCTGCCATCCATCTAGAGAGGTATGCCTTAAAGGTCTGTTGATCAATGTTACAATTGGCCCCCTGTTCGCAAGCGACTTCGATCATAATCTGGTTCTTGAAAAAAATTGCAATGGCTCCGTCCAGAAGACCCTCTGTCCGTGTTCTCCATTTGGCCTGCGTGTCTCCTTCGGTCTAGAGTGAGAAGTCAGTACTGTAAAGTCAAAATGACATGATCAAGCTCTACTTACCACATTCCACATAACAGCGGCGCCGTATAAAAAGACGCCAGCGTTGTAAGACCATTGCAAGTGACTGAGCTCAGTACAACCAAGATCTGCATCGGAACCATCGTAGACGTAATACTCCTGACTGATCATGCCAACTGGTCCGACCATCCAGTCCCAAGTCTTCTCTGCTTCGGCCAGATAACTCGCGTTCCCGGTATACAAAGCCAGGCGTGCGGCGAGATTGAAATAACAGCCGTTTGAGATGGCGTTCTTGTAGTCGTACCCTGTATTAAGCGGGAAGATCTGCCAGCGCAGGCCTCCGTCGCAGGTTGCGGTATCCCAGCGCGCCAATTGGGTGTTATACACAGCTTGCGCCAGTGCAAGCCATTGAGGCTGATCGGGTTCTGGGTTTGGAAAGTTGACCTCTGCCGCCGTCATCGCTGCAATGCCCCAGAACGCCTGTAATCAAGAGATCAGTATGTGATTCTGTCATGTCGCACCAAACTTGTCGCACATAATGGCGGCGCAAGGTTGTGCACGATATGGCACTGGTATATTTCAACATGTCTGAAAGTGGCAGGACTCACTTGATCATCATTGCCTAAAGATTTGCTCTGATTTGGAGGCATGTAACTGTCACCGGGACCGACTTGGAAAAGCAGCGCTTCTTTAGTGATATCGTTCCAGGTGTCATCGCCAGTGTAATACCAGTAGTCAATCATGGCTCCGAACATTGCGCCTGCCTCCCACCAGTAATACGGTCCTGGTAGTAGACCTGGAATACCTCCTGGCGCACTGTTTCCAGTATACCACTTCATCATGCCTTGCGCTGCTATTTTGGCGGCATCTTTGATGGAATTCGGGTCGTCCAGGTTCAGGTCAATCGCATGACATAGTTGCGCCACCAGCGGTGCGGCCAACAGAGTAGGCAGCTTCATCCTCAGCTCGCCTTGCCTGTCGACGTTTCGTTGATGGACTTGAGGATGTCAAAAGAATGTGAACTGGGATGACGAGAGACATCCTGAACCTACCACATTAGACTCCAGGCGCCATGATGGTCATCGCCGGGCTGCAGAGCCTGTCGGCATGCTCTCGTGTTCCCCTCCACCACGCGGGGCGCAGCGAACGCTCGAGGCAGAGCGGCTGGACGTTTCTTGGCGCCCAGTCGGCTAGCTTTGGAGCGCGCAGCTCTTTCTTTGTCAAGCTTCTTGCCAGCCACGCGGTCGATCTGATTGCGGAGAAATGCTCTGGCTATAATCGTGGAAGCTTCGCGGTGACTTTTCTTGATGCGATGCTTGTGAGTTGAAGATTGAGGCACCCTGTCGCATCCGATGGTGAGCTGTAGGAGTGAGATCTTCAAAGCGTTTCCGGTTTCACCGACTGTGGTATACGAAGATGCATTCCAAATTTGGATGGCTCATGCCACCCGAGGTATCGATCCTACGGGAGCATGCCGTCACAGCTGGATTTATGGTTCGACTAAACGCCTAGTGCGGCGAGGTGACTGCATAATACGATTGACAAACGGCACAGGTACTGTTCCAAGAATCGTCCAGCACTTCTTCGTGAAGACATCGCCATCTGCATACACGTCAGCTGTCGCTTCTTCACACTCGCTGTCGCATCACCAGAATCAATCATGTCGTCTCTACGCCTCCTCTTCGTGTCTCTCATCGCATGTGTTTTGGCGGCGGATCAGAGCCCACCTACGGCATTTGGCTTGACTCAGCAGTATCGACCAGACACACAATGGAGGTCCTGTAAATCGACGGGCAATGTGAGGACGAACTGTGGCTTCTGCTACAGCAAGTCTGGGAGCTTCCAAGGCTGGAACTGCAATTGCGACAAGTTTGTACGTCTTTGATCGTATCAAGCGGAAATGTATGGTTCGCTGATCATTTTGCCAGTGCTCTGGAACTGCAAACGATTGCTATTATATCCTGGAGTCAGATCCCAGCAACTACGCCAAAGTCACTTGCCAGGGAGCCGTGGTGCCTGCTTCGTGAGCTGTCGCAGTTCTTGCTGGAGGCGACAGCTTTTGGCTGCTTGCTCCGGCCAAGCTCTGCTGGAAGTTCGATCACTCGGTGGCGTCGGGCTGGAACACATATGTGCTGGCCCAGACTCTTGACGCGCCATGTCTCTGCCGGATGTCTCTGCTCGATGTCGTTGACGAGCTCAGAATGTCGGCTGCCGAACAGCGATTGCAGTTTCCCAGGACCGCTGTCCTGCCAAGACGCGACCGGGGTCGTGGTGGCGTGAGACAAAGCCTTAGGCGACAACGCTCCACGACATCAGGCCCAGTCGTCCTGCCCATCAGCTTCATTGTCCGAAGAAGTAGGTCTTGGAGCACGATTACGATCATGCTTTACGAGCAACCAAAGACAGTCTCAGCCTCAAAACAGGCGCGCAAACACTGGCCACTCTCATAGCTCATGCCATCTGCCGCTCAAATACAGCCCCAAGACCAGCTTGGGCGGTTCTCTTCACCCACCAGTCGATCCTCACTCAACATGATGCATTTTCATTGGACAGGACTGGAAGGACTCGAATCAAAGCACTGAACAGTACCTTTCTGCTTCCTACACAGTCATTGGAGAAAATGTTTATCCGGAAGCACGACCAGTCAAGAAAAGCATTGTCGCAGTATGCATGCCCTTCGATCTTGCAATATGTCGGCCTTTCAGCATTACTGGCTCGATGGGGCTCGTGAAGCCGCGTTGACTGCCAAAGTCACTATAGACGCTTTGTTCACAGCGCTCTTTGAACACGAATGACTTTCGACCATTCACTATACTCAGCTTTAGCGAATCATATACGCATTATCCAATACGTACAAAGCCTTTGTACTGCCAGAAGTGAACACCATTCACAATCGTCTTGTACTTGCAGCACCGTCGATTGCCATTCTTAAGGACCTCTCTCACCCTCTACTTTCGATCCTCACCAAAGAACGAGAAAAGCAGAACGAAGCAACAGCACCGCAAGCCCCAAACTCTACACAATCGTCAGGAACGATTCTCGCAAACACACACTCATCCAACCCACACCAAACCTCCACCAACGCGACAATGCGTTTCAACCCCAACGCACAGGGCCCGACCGCCGAGGTCTCCGCCGCTGAAGCGGAGGAGTTCATCACGCCAGCCCTCTCGAAATCCACACAGCATGCCCAGAAGATGGCAGCGCTGAACCAAGAAGAAGCTCTTCCCGTCGGTGAAGACGGTAAGACCACGAAGCTAGAGTATGCACGCCGTAGACACCAGGGCTTGTGTTTCTACTGCGGAAAGCACGACGCAACGGAGCAATGTCGCATACTTACCCGGAAGAACGCCGCTGCTGCGCTGAAGGCATCCAAGGCAGCTGGTGGGGAGGGAGCTGCTCCAGCCCCTGCCCAAGCCGAGAAGCGAGACAACCGCAACTAGAGTGGGCCCTGGCCTCTCTACGTGACGGTGACCCGACGAAAACCCCCCAACAACCCTTCTTGAAATCCGCAGACCCATCAAAACTCTCGAGCTGTGCCGTTGCAAGCAGCTCTGACAACTAAGATTCAGCTATACCGATGCGACTAGCTGACAATCTGAAAACAGCATGGCTATACCGTTGTGATTAGTCGATAAAATAACAAAGAAACCATAGCTATGCCTTTGTGATTAGCTGGCAATAAAAAACTTTTAACCAAAACTTTTTTCGTGTTCCAATCTGTCATTGTTCCATTTTCTGTACCGAAAGCTCAGTCTATGAACTCGAAAATGAACTCGAGTGACCCTGAACTACGACCAGTTTCCTGGTCGGTTTGAAATGTGTAACTGACAAGTGACCCTGATGATCCCGCGTGTGCTGTAAATGGGCCTGCTTCCTGCCAAGCGCAACCCAAAATTGACTCGTCTCCGTTCAGGCCGAAATGCCCCCTGAGCGGTTATTTCCCTTTCGTCGTTGACCTGCTTTGAATGTGCTGATACCATCATGTCACGGAACTATGTCCAAATGCGGAGACCATGGTTGCAAAACTTCAGACCCCTCCAGAACCTGCGTTTCCTATTGCAGTTTGGGCATGCGGCAAGAGAAAGTGGTTCAAGACTCATGCCTCTCACGACGCATTGTTTTCCTTCAACCACGCAACACCCATCGCATCTTCGTTCGACTCATCAGGCGGTAGGTGAAGTGGACGCTTGACAGCACGCTCCCAGTACATCATGCTTCTCTCAGACACCTTCCCGCCTTCATTTGCCCGAAGAGCATCGTAGAAATTGGTTGCAGCCGTTTCGAGTCCAAGTATACGCATGCATCGAATAATGCGTGTGATGCGAAGGTGGTTGTGATCCATACGTGTGAGCCACGTCTGTCGAGCCAGCTTTGTGAAATTTGCTTTTGGATCGAGCGTGGGATCCTCCTTGGTGCCAGACGCATCGAAGGCGTAGAAACTCGCCATGCGAGCGAATGCGCGAAAGAGGTTGCTGCGGAGGAGCTCTTGTTGCAGAAAGGCGTCACGGACGGCTTTGGTGATGATGGGTGCGCTTGGGTTGATTGGTGAGCGTTCAGGAAGCTGTGATATCGTTAGCTTCAGCAACACTTCAAGAAGGGAGGGCGTTTGCAACATACTGGAAAGATGACTTGGATGAAATCATGGTGGCCCTCCAAATCGTAGTCGTCGAAATTCAGAATCTCGTCAAGGTTGCGACCATTGCTGTCGCGCTCGGCTTCGTTCCCGTAGAATCGGACAATGAAAGGCGCGCGTGGCTTCTCGTCGTTTGGAGACATGCTTGAGTACAGTCGGCCTCGAAAGTGTTGGTTTCTGTAGATGTGTTCTCGTTGAGTGTTCTTGAGTTTCGAGCAGTAGACAATGTGGCGTGTCTGTTTTGAAAGAAGTAATTTTGAACTTGAAGATGAAAGCACGCGAGTTGCAAGAGCGAGCAAACGTCCCTGCTTCATAAGTGGCTGCTCATTCACCAAAATAACCTCAAGAAGGTGAGTCGTGACTTTGATGCAAGATCTCTAGCGTCGCGCATGACCTCGCTGCACCTACCTCGCAGATGATAGATCTGAATTTGGGAACAAGATTATGCCTGATATCAGCCAGCGATGGAAGCTGTGGAAGGAAGAGAGAGTTGTTGCTGCAGTCGTGACGAAACACGCTTCACTTGACCAGCGCCGAGAAAACTCCGATCGGCGAGCATCTTTCACCTCCGATAGACATCATTGACAGCTGATCACACACCCACACACCAACAACTTGCCTACGCCTGTATATACACACCTTAAATCCTTCTCCCAGACCACGCGACCCAACACCGAAATCATGGCCGACGCAAAGCAACAAATCATGGAACAAGTCCGACAACAAGTCGCTCTCGCAAATGCACGAGCACTCGTGGAGGTGTGTAACCTCACTCCCATCTACTGGACGCCCACCATTCTAATACATTCTGATAGAAAGTCAACGAGCACTGCTTCGAGCGCTGCGTTCCCAAACCTGGTACTTCCCTATCGAGCGGCGAGCGAACCTGCTACACAGCCTGCATGGAAAAGTACATGTCATCATGGAATGTTGTGTCGCAACAATATCTCGGACATGTGCAGAGGCAAGTGGGACAGGGGAATCAGTTTGCTGGGGTATGAGGGATGAGATGGGAGGGCGAGAATGTCTGATTGTGATGTGAGGAGGGATGGCTGCTACAGGTCGAGTCAAAAGAAGCATTGTAAAGGGTTTCAGCTGTGCGCCGGCAACATAAATTGTGTGCAAAAAGCGAGGGTGTAAGAGAGAGAATGAGGACGCAACAATACATTTGCACATAGTGTACAACAGAACTATGCGTGAGCATAGATGATTCGCGGGTTGTATAATACCAAAGAAGCTTCGCTCAATCGCAGCAGATCGCTCAGTAAGCAGCAGCAACAACAGATGCCAAAAACATTTGTTCAACCTAACTCCCTCGATCATCTCGAACCCCAAGGCGTATGCGCAGGTGGCTGCGCAGGGCTGGGCTGAATTTGTGCCGGACTCTTCGTGAAAGCCTTCTGCCTTTCCGCGTACTCCTTGATGATGACACTGCAGCTCACTTCCTTGCACAGCTGCTTCCTTCTCGCTGGGGGCAACAGACTCGCAAACTCCAGTCCGCTTGCCCTCTCAACCGCCTCAATGGGCACCTCGAAGTCTGCCAGCGGCTTGTCGTTCGGAATCTTATCGTTGGGCAACACAAAAGCTCCCAAACTCACTTTCCCTCCAGCCTTCCCGTCCTCTGCAAAGATGATCTTGTAGAAGTGCGTCGGCACAGCCACATTTGGCGGGTGTCCAACAACCTCATAACTGACCTTCCACTTCTGATCAACGGGATCCCGTTTCGGCAGATACAAAGGTCCTGTGACAATTCGCACGCTAGGATAGTACGATGTCAACCTCCTGCAAAAGTCCTCAAAATGTGCCCAGTAGTCCCGATTGAAGCCCTCTCCGACCTGCGGACACATGTTTGACAATGCGAATGTGCCATCCATCGCCTCTTGACTCCATTTCGCATCTGCGGCAGGAACTTGGTGTCCACGATCATAGCCTGACCGGAAGTAGTCTTTCAGCTTCGCTCGGAATTTTTCTGGGATCGAGGCATCTTCTGTGAATTGGCTGTGCCGGCGATCGCCGTTCTGAATGAGAAGAGATTGGGGTGTGATGTGCTCTGCGACCCAATGTGGGTTCCGTGTTGCGCGATTGTACGAGCTTGTGAGCGAGGGAGCGTTGCGAATATCTGAGACGGGACCGGGAAAACCGTATTGAAATACACCAGCAGGGTCGACAGGAGGCAGCATTGGATGTCTCGGGTCGTCGCGCTGAGGAATCGGTGGAATCGGGGATGGAGGAGGTGGTGCAGTCTTCGATGTTGTGGAAGTAGTTGTCGAGGTTGCAATTGTGTTCGTTACAGTCTCTTTTGGTCTGCTGATGCCGTAGATGGCTGCTGTCGTGGCTGCTCCAACTGCAGCGCTGGCGCCCGCTACAATAGCAAGAGTGGCCTTGGACATGGCGGAACCTGACATGCAGAAGCGGTGCGATGCTCGTTGTCCTTATGTCTGTCGCTGCTGCGATCACATGCTCCCATACTTTCGTAGCAACGTGAGCCAAACGCGCGCGTGAGGAAAGCGCGTTCCTTGCTGCCCAATCAGCATGCAAAAGCCGACAGGGATGCATGAACGTGCAACGAGCTCATGTTGACATCTCTCGACATCTGCCAGACGTACAGATCATTGCAACACTTGCAGTCAGAATGATTGAACAGCCTGAGCCACTTGGCTCGCGAGAGTTTGATAGAAAGTATCGACAAAGAAGCTCCAATGCTATATCATCCACAACCAGAAACACCATCTGAATGCTGAACGGCCGTACCCAGATCTTTTGAATAACCACTCACAGCTGTCTCTCCAGCACTTGGGATCAGCAATGCAAATACAAACTCCGCTCCAAGTCAGGAGGGCACCACGCTAAAACGCAAGCAAATAAATCAGATCGCATCGATCAGTCGACAGGCGGCAATTTCTCCGACGCCCACTTTCCCAGACCATTGGAGGGGTCCTCGTTGATGTATAGCATCTTTCTCGCCCCACAGAAGCCTCCGGGAAGAGCAGTGCGTTTTACTTCTTTATATGTCCCAGTGAGGCTAGAATGTGACTTATCGGTGCCGTTGCGGATGGCTGCCAGACTTTCTGCGTCCCAGGTCCACACTTCGTCGATCACTTCGTCGCCAGGTTCTTGGAATTGCCGTGGGTTGAAGGAAGGTCGTCTGGCTATCCAGTCCACAATAGTGTGAATCGGTGTGTACAGGCGCTCAAATCTCTTGACGAAGTGCAGCCAAGGCAACACTGAGCTCGAGTACGCGACTCGAACATATGGGTTCATATAAATCCCAGTTTCGTTGACGGGTAGTGAGGCCGGGTCCATCGCTGTGAGGTCGGCATGGATCAAACAACATTCTGACCCATCCCAGTAAGTATCGTGCTCCGCCCGGAACCGTAACGAGGAGTTGAATGTGTCAATGTGCAGCACTTCATGACTAGCGTCCCGCGGGTCAGGATGATAGCTCAGATGTGCTGGCTGAGTCTTGGGTAGCCGAGAAGGGAGGACATTGTCGCCCGCGAGAGTGTGCAAATCCATTTGGAACCACATCGCTTCGAATGCCACCATGCCTCCCCAGCAACTCTTAACTCTCACGGCATCCTTCTGTTCAAGAACATCTTTCCTGCTCTCCGCTTTACCAGCTCCAGTGAACCAGGGGTAGAAAGGCACTCCCATGTCATAGCCTTCCAGATCTCGCGTCGCAAATGTGTCGTAGAATTTGAACGGCATAATGAAGTCAGTCGCACAAGCTGCCCGATACTGTGTCCTGCCGGTGAGCTCGTTTGCGTTAGTCGAGAACAGCAAATTCGCCGCATCGATCGGGTCAAAGACCACATCGTTGAGGTACAGCAGCTTATCGTATCGAGTGCTGTGCGCCACCGAGTTTGCGTCCTCCAGAGGCCGTAGCGCGCGATTTCGAACATCCGCTAGGAATTCGATTCTCTTGAGTCGTTTTGTACCATCCGGTGTGGAAACATGGTGAAGCTTGCTAAGATCTAGTGTCTCTGCGACAATGGATTTTGCACAGGTCACATTCTTCGAGAATGAATCGAGCGCGGCCTTGGCCATAGGATCAGGGTCGTTTTCGTATATGCTCAAGAAGACGTTCTGTGGTCCAAGAATATTGATCAGATGCAGTACCGATTGGCCCCATTCGCCTGAAACTACTTCGCCCTCCTGGTCGTATAAGCTCGCTGCAATGAAGACCTTTTCGTTGTGAATGTTGGCAGATTGTCCGTACACTAGAACCCGATCGCGCAGTTCCTGGTAGCGCAGGGGCGCATGGGAGTATCCTGGGAAGAAGACACCAGCGATCAACAGGAGTCCGAATATCAGATAGGGAAAAAGTGCTATGAGCTGCACCAATCTGCACAAGGGTGACCGTCGCCGCCGGGGCGCGTGGAAAAGAGGACCAGAGCCTCTCCTTCGATGTCTCGACCTCCACCATTTTGGCGTCCGTCTCCTTGCGATCGCTATGATTGAACCAATGCCATTGTAGTCGTCCAGCTCATACTCGGTATCTGAGTCGTATTCCGCACTGCTGCCAGATTGCTCGCGGTATAATAGTGCCTCCTCCGCTCCATCTTTCGCTGCCATACTGGCAGGTTGATCCCCGAATGCCTTCCGTAGCCAGCGTTGCAAGTGCTCGCGATCCAGGGGCTAGAGGACCGGAGTGAACAAAGCAACAACAAAGGAATTCCGGGCTCGTATTGTGCGGTGCCGTCGGTATTGGTAGCTGAGTCAATAGGTTATGAGGACGACCATGGTAGTGCGACCAAGAAGCTGTGAGTGGAAGATGCTGAGCGTGCGATGCACTTGTACTGCGGACCTGTAACAAGCGCTGTCGGACGCGGATGCCTGGACCTGGTATGCATGAAGGAAGACACGTAGGGCGACGACGGCGAGGCGAGGGCAGCTAGGTACACAAGTGTAGTCGGAAGCGTACTGCGCCTTCTTCGTACATCATCGGGTTGCCAAGGGGGGTGAGGGTGAATCCATGCACCGAGTCTCGCTAAAAGGTGAAGGTCGCAGCGTCGGCGCTTGGTCGAGATCGAGCCCTGCAACTCCAGACGCGAGCCAATTGAGTTCCGCGAAACAGTTCCACCTCCACGCGTCGACCCGGCACTCTCACCTTAGCCTCTGCCCTTTTGAAAGCGGGCAGCTGCTGGAGCAAAAGAAAACCGCCATGTTCAGTCGGCGCGATCCTTCAGAAGGACCGTTGCTCAACGCCTCGTCCACGCGACCATCGAAGTCCTGTACCAATCGTCGCCCGAGAGCTGCAACGTGCCGCATCTCTTGGCTGCTGCCCCTCGCCCGCGATAGATCTCAGCGACTATGCTACACCACGGGGAAATCAGCGGAAATACCCTGAAAGTTAGCTCGCTCCAGGATGACACATGAGGCCACCGTAACAGCCTGCGACAAAAGCGTTGGCAGATTTTCGATCCACCAGTCACAATCGCCGCGACAAGGAGACTGTGAAGCACGAAGGATGGCGTACACACACAGAGAGAGCTGCACAGCCCACAGCGCGTCGTCATTGTGCCTCTCAAGCATCGCACGCAGGAACACGATCCCGGTGGGTGAAACCGTGAAAAGCGACACGCCCGGCTATGGTGTGCATTTCTCGCCGTTTCCTCGCATCTCCAGCATAACCCTGGCATACAGCGTAATAAGCACTTTAGATCTATGCTTCTCTCATGTTGTGCTGCGCCGCCGCGCGCGGTGAGCGCGGGCTGGGTCTTGCTTGTCAGTCACTCTCGCTACAGGCAGCGCCAGCCGGCGATCACTCGACGTCGCGCTCGGCGTATCTTTGCCCCCTAAGCAGAACGCATTTGCGAGTCACGCTGGAAATTTGCTCGGAATCCTATCTCTTCATGAGCAAGACCTCCGCGCTGTGCGCGCACCCACAGGTCCACTCTCAACGCCGTGGGGCTTTGCGGAACCATTTCGCTCATCGCTATACGAAGAGAGCCCAATGCGTCCCGCATGATCACTTGGCGTCTGCTGAAGCAGTTTTCATGCTGCGTTTGAGACAAGGAGACAAGGTCTACGACGATTCTGCTGCCCGGGCTGCGCTCAGTCTGTCCTGCACAGTGTCAAGGACACGTCAGCAACGGTAGAGGATTCAGGAACAGTAAGCTGCGCGCGGTAAACGTTGTTATTATAGAATATGCTGTGCCACAGTCCTAATGTTGCAGTTGTTGCGTTCACTCTAAGCCTTGCGCTCTGCTTCGAGCAATCCGTCTACGACTTGGAAGACCCCCGTCACAATCTTCATCGTGCCCTCATCGACCTGTCCTCGGAAGCGTTGCTGCACTTTGTCGGGATGCCATCTCACACGTTCAGCTTTGAGCTGCTGCTCCTTAGTTCGACCATCTGGATCCACAGGTATATTGCGCATGAACTCTTCAATGTTCGGCTTTATCACTGGTTTCGACTCCAATACCGGCCAGGGGATCCGCTTGGAAGGAGGCTTTGCATCATTTTGTTGTTCGGAGCTGTCATCGCCCTTCAGTAGCTCATGCTTAAGCGTATCCCAGGCAGCCAGATATCGCTTCCACGAATCAGCATACTCTTGCGAACGCGCAGACCCTTCAGAGGTACGCTTCGATGCACTGCCCTTCCTGTCGTCGAAGTCAAAGACGTAATCGTAGTCGTGGCCCACGCCTGCGAATTTCTTCGCTCCGTCGTGTTGAGCACGTTCCCAGGCTGCTCTCTGCTTGCGCCGGATGAACTCCTCTCGCTGTCGGGCCTTCTCCTCCTCCTCTTCCTTTCGTTGCTTCTCCTTCTTCTCACGGTCAAGCACAATATGAGGATTGTTCTTCTCCCACATCTTGGTTTGCACATAGGCAGCATACTCTTCATCGTTCATCTCTTCCAACTCGCCTCGGGCATTGACCACGCTGGGGCGCGGGAAGACGTGGATGGGCTGACTGTAGACGCTCTCCCAATATGCAGCGCCTTCGTCATCCGCGAGCGCGTCGAAGAGAGACTCCTGAAAGGCAGCATTGGCGTTGCCGTTTGCGTCGCGGTCAGGATTCGTAGGCTCTCGCGGGAACGGGTGTGCTGCCTCTCCATTCGAGTGTGCTTCATCGTGTCGCTCTTTCCTGTGCTTGCGATGTGTTCGACGCTCTCCATCTCGCGATCGGTGTCTTCGCTTTCTGGGCTCAGCACCGTCCTTGAAGCGGAACTTGGATGTCTTGCGCCCAGAGCCATCCTCCCTGCTTCGATGGCGCTCGCGATGTCGCTCGGGCACGTAAGGCTCTTCTCTCTGTTCGTTGTGATGATCGATCTCGTCCCAGAGACTGGCAAGGACTGCGTCGTGATCTACTTCGTGCCGTTGCTGGCTCTTCAGCCCAGCTTTGACTTGCCTTTTCGCCTCCTCAATGGACGGCATTGCTGCGGTCCGGTTCTATCGACCACGACCTCGTACATTGCGCTGAATATCGCGACTTGTAGCACGTCTGACACTCACATGCGCATAAGTGAAGATCTTGAAATGGAAGTCAAAAAAGGTGAACAAAGAAGGCACGAGCAACGCTCGCTTAACGGCGCGCCAAAAGCCGAAGTTCCCTGTCAAGTTTGCCTTGCTCTTAGGATTGTGCACGTCAAGAAAGCAGATGACCGGATACAGACGAAACGAGCCAGCGCATGAAAGACGCTGCTGTATGACTCTTCTTATCTGCGACTTCCAGCATGCGTACGATTCACTTCCACCGACCCAAGCACCACTTGCCCGACAAGTAATAATAAGAAGCCCACCATGGCCCGCCTTTCGGCATCCAACTCCGCGGCTGCCAGCAGCGCCAACGGTCACATTTCGGCTCCTTCAACCGCAACTTCGGCAGATCCAGCATCATTGCCATCTACCTCACACAGCAATGTCGGCGACTCGAAGCCCGTAGAAGATGACATCCCGGACACGGACTGGGAGGACGAAGCGGTCGATACAGCGCCTTTGCCCATGGACGACACTCTCTTTCCAGGAGGCACTCGCGACCTCTCCTACATAGGGGTTCAAGCTTTCTTCCTGGGAACTGTCTTTGCTGCTGGCATATCAGGGACGATCACAGCAGTTGTCCTGGGATCCGCGTGGTGGCGCCTTCCAGCCTTCGCAACGAGTCTCGCGCTCTTCCATTTCTTGGAGTACTTCACCACTGCTCGATACAACACTCCGGCACTGCGAGCGGAGAGTTTCCTGCTGTTCAACAATGGCAGAGCTTACCAAGCCGCTCATGGATGTGCAACATTGGAGTTGATCGTCAGTCGCTTCTTTCCCCAATATGGCCAGACATTCGTCAACCCTCTCACCATCGCCCTGGGCATTGCTTTAATCGTTGTCGGCCAGCTCGTTAGAAGCCTTGCAATGGCGCAGGCCGGACCAAGCTTCAACCATGTAATCGCAAGGGAGCACAAAGAGCACCACAAGCTTGTAACTCACGGCTTGTACTCCATCTTCAGACATCCCAGCTACTTTGGCTTCTTCTGGTGGGCCATCGGAACGCAATTCCTGGTCGGCAATAAGATCTGTTTGGTGGGATACATCATCGTTTTGTGGCAATTCTTCTACAGACGTATTCAGGGTAAGTGTTCATCGTAGCAAACAGGTACCGTTACAACTAACAATCTGGCAGGCGAGGAGAAGTTTTTAGTCAACTTCTTCGGCGACAAGTACATTGAGTACAGGAAGAAGACTGGGACGAAGATTCCGTTCATACGCTGAAAGCGACGAGGAGTGAAATGGTCGACACATGCACAAAGCGTGGAAGAGTACAGTGCCAGTCTTCGCGCATGATCGCAGCCCAGCAGCATAGCATAGACGTTGCATAGTCACGAGCTCGTCTCGAATGAAAGAGACTGTAATTTTAATCTTCCGTGTTCAATCACTCGTACTTGAGTAGTTCGTCTTTAATGGCAGAAATCTGCGAGAGCTTGGCGCAGCTTTCACGTGTTGCTCAGACCGTCTTACAAGGAACAATTAGGCGATGAGAAGAAAAGTAGTACAATGACAGAACAATATCGACATTCAGATTCAACACAATATGGTATCACGTTCTAAAAGCACAACCATATCTTATCTTCTCAGCTCACAATATCGTCACACAAAAATCCTGGCCAAAACTAATGCGGTGCTGTACATCCCAATTGGCCCTCTCCTTCTTTTCGCCCAGCTATACATAAGAGAAAAGATCCAAATATCCACAGCTCGAGAGCCTTAATAGGCGAGCTTCAATGATAAAAGTGGCAGAATTCCATGCTCACATGTAAGAAGGATATATGTGTATCACGTTTGGGTCGTAAAGTCATCATGTCCCGCCCTTGGGGCAGTAACTGTGAAGGGGGTATCTTTAGCGATAGTGTTGAAAGGAACCGGTAGAAGTGTTCGGCTCTGAAACTTCCACGAGGGCTTCGTCCTCGCCAGCCTCGCGCCAATCGCGACTGCGATCCGCGAGTTGTCGTATTCCTGGTACTCGTTGTGCCCAGAGGTTTTCCGATGGGGTCCGGAAAGTGTAGCCACGCTGGGAGCTGATGACTCCAATGGCTTGAAGGACGGATTTGCGAGTGTCACGCCCAAATACAGTGGGATGACAGATCCACTCCAGGCTTGATTCGAGTTCCGAGTCCAATGCAGTCATGGTTGCTCGGTCAATGCTTCCCCCAGAACTGATGGGGCTTTGCGAATCTCTCATCAGAGGTGAGGGCGAGCGTCGCCCAGAAGGTGTCAATGAAACGCCCGATTCGCGAGGGGAGCTTCTTGCAGAATCGATTTGTCGTGGTGTCGCAGGCAGAGCGCCAGTAGGGGGAGGCGTTGGCAGTGGGGGAAGACCGCCTTTGCCAAGGCCTTTGAGGATTGATCGCGTCTCTGCAAGCAGATGATGTGCGCGATCATTCTGACCTCGAGCCACAAGGCCAAGGGCACGTGAGAGCATGTCAGATGTGAGTAGCTCCATGCGCCGTTGCACCACAAGAGGATGGGGAGGAATAGGAGGCGTCGAAGGCTTGAGAGAGCTCTTTCTAGACGAGGTCGGCAGCATGGTGATCGCAAGCAGCGATGGTCGCGGAGACTGCGACATGATGCCGTCACGAAGGATATCATTCCAGGTGAGGTCGGCTTGCAGGAGTGGAAGCTCTTCCACGGACATTGGCCGAGACTCTTCGCTTTCCATTGGGCCTAGCGCCTCGAGCCCTGAGATCATGTTCTCCCAGGGATCTGTAGGTATAGAGTCGGGAGTAGACGTGTCAGGCTGTATAGCAAGCTGTACCAAGATGTCGCGCTTGTCTCCAACGCGCAGATCACCAAGCGAGGCTTCCGCATCTCGACCTGTGGCGCGCTTCGTGATCTGGAGAGCGCCGCTGATCTTGACAAATTTGGCCGGAGAACCTTCAGGAAGGCGCAGTCTGACCTTCACATTCTGGTGAGATGTGCTCTGAAGGGAGCCCAAGCAGCCCGCCAAGCACTCCCGTAGCATCATCCAGTCCTTGACATATGTGTAGCTTGCTTTGGTCTTGGTAGACATGGCGACCATGGTGTCTGGTTTGTGCGTCAGACCAAGGCCGAACGAATGGATCGAGATCTTGGCGGCTTCTGCTCGGGAGACGACGAAGTCCACACTGTCGTGGTCCGAAGTTGAGGAGTCGCTAATGACTAGAACATGGGAGAGCTGATTGCGAGTCCTGCGTTGCATAAGTAGATCCACGGCAATATTAGCGCCATCGACCACATCCGCGCGGATATTCTTGACTCCAACAGGTCGAATGGAGTCTATGACCTTTGCCCATCCGTTCCAACTCCTTGTGGTCATGCCGACAAGGGGAGCGGCGCCACTGCTGGATCCAAATGTAACCAGGCCTATGCGATCCTGCTCGCCCAGACTCGACACCAGAAATCTAAGCGCGTCGCGGAGTAGGTTCACCTTCAATCCCTGCATGGATGGTGTGACTGGCACCACAAGAACAAGATCGATGGGTACATGTAATGAGGTTCTCTCCAGAGGAAGTCCTCGGCCATCGCTGCGTGAGTTACTATATTCGGTGGGCGCTGTGCCCTGTGAGCGACCACCGTGAGATGATTGAATCGACGACACCCTCTGCAATCGTTTGGGATGATACTCGTCCTCTTCTGACGATGCCGGATCGAATTCGTGATGCGTCGAAGGGGCCGGCACAGGATGGATGATGTCGTCCAGAGATCTCCGCCATGTGTCCAACAAATTAGAATTGCGGAAGCGCAGATGGAATACCGGAAGTTCGGCGACTGTAAGCTGTAGTGTGAGCACATCGCGCTCGAACGATGTTTCGACGTGGCTCAAGTGCTTCTTCACCAAGATTGATCCTTTCAAGGTACAGCACGATTTCACGGGCCCTCGTTCTGAGTCGTCCCACGACTGACTCTCATGCGCAACGATCTTCTTCTCCTTCACACAAATCAACATTTCAGCGAAGAGGAAGCATTCGAGTTCCTGCCAGGTCTGCCGGTCTTTGCCCACTTGTATGATGTCGTGCAGTAGTAATTTGCCAAACTTGCCAAAATCCAAGCCATGCCAGTTATCGACGCGTCGGAAAAGGTCTTCTCGAGCCTTCAATAAAGCGCTGTCTTCGAGCACGCTATCTACGGCTCTGCTCTGGTCCGAGATAGGCCGTAATCGAGGGGCTGGTTTGATGCTTCCCTCTCGTGTCGACAATGCGCGGTCCGGGAGCTGACTCTCGCGCGTGCGTGTGTGCCATTGGCCATCGGTAACCTCCACCGTGACCAAGCATGTCAGACTCTGCTGGTGGCGAGATTTGGTGAGCGTCGGGAATTCACTTCGCACGGTGACAAGTGGCGGCGGCGTGGGACTGCTGCTAACGTGTCGAGGGCTGGCAACAGACGCTTCCATGGACTGGACATCATATTCGTGCCGCCTCCAACTAAGTGGCTGGCTTTCTGCGTAGCCGCTAGATGCAGCACCAGTCTCGCCACTCGCGCGTCTGGCTCGAGGTTGTTGTGCGGCCGCATGTTGATCAAAGCGAGCATTTGCTGATTGAGATGGGCTCGAGATAAGGTCTTCTCGCGAAGATCTCGATCGTGGAGCGCTGTGAGGTGCCGTTGTTGCCGTCTCGGGCCGTTGTTGGTACAGATCGAGTTCTCTCGGCACAGGTAACGGTTTTGATGCGGCATCTTGGGCATGCTCTCTCGGTTCGGGTTGTTGAGTGGTTTGCACGAGTTTGTTCAAGTTATCGAAGTCGACGTTGGCGCTTCGGTTGTTGTCGTATCCCAATGGCTGGTCACATGAAGGGCAGTTCTGAATCTCGAACTCCTTGATGAACTCGTGGAAGCAAGCCTCGTGGGCGACATGGCCACATGAAAGTTGCAGGATGCGCTCCCCGCGAAGAATATGCTCCAGAGGCTCCTCGCAGGCGGCGCAGACCGTGCCCACAAAGGTTCTTTCGCGTCGATTCGTACCCTTGGTGCCCAACATCTCGGTGGGACGAGGCACTGGAGTGTTAGCACGCAGGCTGCGGTCGCTGTTTTCCACGCGCAGCGACTGCCTCGACGTAGAAGCCGGTGGAGCACCGGCGATGGTGCTGCTGCTGGAGCTTGATGAGGTGTGCTTCTTGAACGAGCGGATTGACTGTTGGTCCAAATTTAGCCAGCGAGAGGGAAGCACCTGGTAGACTTTGCTTCGCCGGGGTGGTGCTAAGACAACAAGCTACAGTCAGCCTTCAATGCTGCCACATTGAGAGTCGCGGTGGTGATGGCGCAAGACAGATCACTGGGGATGTTTCGTACCTATCTCATTGACGCTGGTGCCGACCAGGCCGGCAGTTGTTCGCTTCTTGCTGGCCGGGGCCGGTATCGAGTTTGGGGCGACCAGGCCAGTGGCAATTAGGTTCTGAACAGTCTTCTTCGAGTAGTATTCCCTTTTGGACCGCTGTTGTTCCGCCGCATCAAAGTTTGCGTGCTGCGCGCGCCAGGCGACCTGATGCGGCGATGAAGACATAAGAGCTCCGCGCCCAAGGGGTCTGTTCTTCCGTATGAAAGTGGTTCGCGTAGTGTCATGCTCTAAATTAGAGTGGCAGTAGCCCTCAGACACCAGGCGACAACCCTGTCTGGCACGCGAGAGAGTGGACTCGGGTCAAAGTGCAGACTGAGAAAAAGGCCGCTGTGCCGCAATGCTGCTCTTTGATCAGAGCAGCGCAGCAATATGACCTGGAGCGAAGCATGGCTGCCACGTTCGACACGTCCAGCGATCTCCACTGCGCGCGCTGCGTCCGGACGGACAAGCTAGCCCGGTGAAGATGCTGCGCAAACCTACGCCGCGCGCCAGCAGCACAAGCACAGGCAGAGGCAAGCGATGGCCGAGAGGCACGCTTGCTCTCGCCCGGACGACTAGCTCGATCCACGCCTGCAGCGAAAGCTCGGTGCATGTCGCGGGAGGAAACGACGAACAGCGCGTGCATGGGCCCCCCTTGGTATTGCCGCTGATCAGTCCACAAGGCCGCATTTTGTCCGTGGGCCACACCGTCGCTCCTCATCAATCGGGCTCCGTGAGACGAGCGTGAGCGCTCCCACCGCCCGGGACACGCCCGTTTCACTGCATCGTCGACGCGTCTGCTGATGCATGGGATGGGCGCTGAATGGCCGCCGTCACCACGCACGCCGCCCAGCGCCGTGGTTCGCCGTCGTTCGTGCCTCTGCTGCGGCGTGGCAGGCATGTGTCCATGGCATTGGCATCTCTCGGCACGCGGCTATCTGCCGACGCTCGTGCAGCGTTGCAGCTCCATGTTGATGATGACTGCACGAGCCGGTTTGTGGTTATATTGTGGACGACATGGTGACGATGCGCGGAAGGTGCAATGCGCGGCGACGGGCAGGCGTGAAACCACGTGTGGACAGAGCGGCCGTCCGCTCTGGGCAGGCACACAGAGTGCGACCGTGCTCGAGCGGACGCATCATCACGAAAACACATCGCTCCAAGCTTGACCCCAACATTGCACACCTCGAGCATCTTGGCTGTCGTGGGTTTGATCACTGTCTAGCCTGCATTCGTTGCTAGTCTTCAGCCCAGCTGCCACGTTCCTGTAACGATTGTTGTGGAGTGGCAGAACACTTCGACCGAGTCTCACTCCATCCCGTGCATCCTTCACCATTGACAGCGACGGCAGAGATGGCGCACTCAGGGATACCCGCACGCCACAATCAAAGATTGCCCTGCCAAGCACCAATACTGCTGCGACGACTGAGAACTCATGTCGAGTGGCGCTACTCATCCGCACTTTACCGTGCGATCAGCACTCCGGTGGATGATGAGATGAGCTCCATCATCATCCCAGACGTACTGCTGAAATACTGTCGGTCCGGTAGATCCCCCTATACTCTGCCGTCCTGCAGACAATGATGCACAGCGCAAACTCTTCTTCCGCCAAAACCGAGAGCCTAGATTCCATCATTGTGTTTGACCGACACGATGGTATGATCAAAATCGCTACTCAAAACACTCTTGTTCCAGGCCAAAACACCTATCTTACCAATAAAATGGTCGCTCGCTCCAGGAAAATTCTTCATATATCCTCTGCTCTGCAGACTCATCACGTCCGAACATCGGCGGGACTCTATGTAAAGTTCTAGGCCACTGACTGCGAACGCAATGGCAGGAAGGAATCTGAGATTTGTGCTCCAACACACTCTAGTTTCGCTGCATCCTCATCGCCGTGAGGCCCAGATCCTATGCATGGGATGACAAGCGGAATCCACTCCGAGCAATTTACCACGACATGCCAGTGTTCCACCAGCAGCCACCTGTCGATTCTTCCCTCGATGCCACATTTCTTACGATGGCGACATTGATGAGCAAAAGTCCCAATAATGTCAGCACTGGGCGAGCGGTAACCACAAGGCTCTGATCATCACTCACACGGCCGCAACTCCGGCCACCTGTCACTTCATTGCCCTGTTGGGGCCTTTGAGAAATCAAATCACTGTTCAGTGTAAGCTCAGAGTGACGAAGTGGCTCGAACAGCTCCCGGGAATGTCGGGAGATATGCGATGTACCCTATGTACGCTCGAGACGGCCATCAGCCATCGCAACACACGAAGATGATGATCTTTTTCATCACCCAAAAGTCGGGCTTGCTGCCTCGTACCTGCGTATTGCAGACTACAAGCTGTATGGTTCCGACCGTGCAGCTCGGAGTCCTCATGCATAAGCTTGGGGCACAAGGTGCTCCATCTCTGCATACGCAGTAGCTAAAGAGGCAAGTCGCCCTGCCGAGCAGCACGTGGGATCTCACGGCGTGTTCGTATTCTCACATGGAAGCTGGACTTCCTTCTCTCATTCTTCTGATCAAATTCTAGCGAAATGCCCAGCAAACCTGTTACATAGCGCCACACTGTATCTGCACAAAGTGGAGTTGATGCTGATCGACATTTGATCGAGCGGTTCCTCAACCGTTGGGCAATCATGCTGTGCCTCCCGCTGCCGCTCTGGCGACATGCTCACGTTTTTTCTACGAGCTTCGAATCTGGTACGCTTCACTTCTAGTGGCTTCACGAGTACGCGACGTCGAACCTTCGTAGTCCACAAGACGCGCACGGGACGGCATCGATTCAAACTTCAAGGAGCCGAACTGTTTTATGCAAGCCAGGACGCACGAGCTGCCATTCCCCGAAATCCTTCGCGTCCACAGCTTTGCCATCTTCAGTTCTTCACCCTTCGGACGTTGACACATCCCCCTCGGTGTGATGTCAAATCGAGCAACAGAAGCGTGCCCTTCGGCACGAGTGCACTCATGGGTCATCCTGGTCAAGCATGTGAAGCACAGTGCATCTTCATCACTATTCTTCTGTGACGTGCTGCGGATGTAACGCTCGTACTGTACACTTCTGCTGCAGAAAGTTCGTCACCATTCATCACAACGTTTGGGCCGTTTCATAGAACAACGCTACCTCGTGCGCGCACACGCGAATCCCTTCCCTGTTCCACGTGAGCGCATGGGTGGACTCTTACTGCGACAGAAGTCAAATAGATTAACTGCCTGCCAAGGGTCGTAACAAGAACATCGTATCGCCATTCGACAGAAGAACAGAAAATCTGCTTTCTGCTTGCAGCGACCCTGGCATACCACAAACGCCGCTGATGATCAGACGGCAAAAATCGTGAGGCGTTCTTGTGATTTGGAAGCTAGCCGTTCTGTCACTTCTGTGCTTGCCATTTGCGACGTAGTAGAGCACGGCACAATGTGTGAGAACGTCACCTGCTAGTCTGAAAGGCTTGAAGCCTCAAGCGTGTTTGTGCCGCCCATCTCTCCCATACCTCTGTGCCTCATTATTTCCACCAACAACTAGGACCCAGACCTTCGGTGTGATGTTGCTGGGAGCTCGAGTCATGACAAGCTGGGAGGATTGTTCCGCGCGACGCCCCCGGCGCGTCTTCGACGACCCGTGTGTGCCGCGAAAACGGCACGTCGCCTGTACTTGCCCATGAAAACGGTCGATCAGAGGTGTGCGAAGTTTGCGAGGCTTGAAGACTTGGTAGATCTACTGCCGTCCCTGCCGCCTTTGAGATGAGATTTGCCCCAAGACACGCGGTTTCTTCACGGCCGGGACGAGAAATCAGCCTATAATGGTGTGAAGAAGACGGGCCTTTTTGCCAGTAGCAATGCAACGCGACCCGTCGAAGGGCGGGCACGCGCGTCCTGTCATCAAATCATCAGTCAAGGGCGGTCTGTGAAGCTATGAGCGAGCCTTCGAATCAAGCTCGGCATTTTTTGTTCGCACGTCGCGCGCATGCTACATCTTGTGATACATGTGCAGGCACGGAGGCTGCATATGCTCTGCTGCTCACATCCGATTTTTCCCCTGGACATGCATAGCATAGATCGTCTTCTCTGCAGTATGCACGGCGTGTGTAATAGTGAAGGCCACCAATGAGCAGTTGCGCACTCGATCAAGCTTCTTCCGATCCCACCTGCCAGATAGGAAAGATCTGCAAAGGCCTCGGGATTTCTCAGCAATTTGCGATCTAGTTTGAGTACCGACCAGATGGAAATTGCGCAGAACTATAGTGCCAGCACCCGGGTTTCGCCATCTGATAAGCAGAAGCCTCCTCGCGGCTACGTGTAAAATCGTATGCTGCCGCAGTGCGCGCGATCAACCGCTCTGGCCTCGGCGCATTGTATTCTCGTTGTGCAGATTGCAGCAGATGGCAGTAGGGGCTAGCAGGCATTGCCGCTCATGTCGATCGGAGCAATGTCGAGACCAAGCTGTACAAGTAGGGCAAAATTAACGAGAAGTCACGAGATATGCAGGAGATTGAGGTCTATCTCCACACGGCAGCGGAAACATCTCGATCTCGTGCGTGCCGCTGCTCTTTCGAACGGCTTGTCGACCGGAAAGGACGATGCGCGATTTTCGGCTTGGAGACTTGTCGGCGGCGATAGGAATCCTTCCTCGTCCTGAGGCAGTGGCCAGAACAGGACTTTCTGTCGTGTCGGCTTCGCATCAACGGCAACATCGCAGCATGGGGACATGAACCAAACTCATCGGCGGAAGGTAGTCATGTTCAAGAGCGGTCTCTGTGGCACAGCTTTGCCCGAGACCAGCCAGTCAGCTCTAAGCCCTGGATATGCTTGGAGGAAGAGAATGCTTTTTGGCGATTGCTTTTGGTAAAACCGTAGCCTTGATGGTGGCATCCCGGTCTCTAAGGGACATGGTTCCGAGCGAGGTGGTTGTGAGTCTGGTTGACCACTTTGCGACTGATCGTTCACACGGGCGATGTGCTCATGCTCAAGCTAGAGGAACTGTTGTTCTATGACCCTGTGACAGGTTGCGTGCACGATCCCTGCTCTCCCGGACCGACACGTGCTCCAAGTCGTTGCTCAGGAACTTCGCGATCAGACTCTTTGATTGCGTCTGTATCCGTAACATGGCATCTCCGGGGCAAGACACAGATGTGAAGCTGAAAATGTGCCCGCAACAAGGCTCCATTGTGATTGCCGTAGAATCGAAGATTGCACGGCGCTGGAGTGCTGCTCTGCTGGTCTGCCAGCCGATGCTCTGATACATATATCAATGGTCGCAAAGATGTCTTCAGCTCTTGACCAAGGAAGCGAGCCACAAGGATGCATCGTATCAGACGTTCTCTTGCTCCCCCACTTTCTTCTGCCCATGTGCCTGCTGGAAGGGCGGTGCATCCTGCCAGTAGCCTGCGCTCTGGGCCACGGATCTAACAGTAGTAGCTTCTCCAGTGACTGAGGCAATGGCATAATCCGCGAGCAGGACGATTCCGAGGCCTTGTAGTACAAGTAGCGCCATTGTTTTCGGTGGTGGTGTTGGAGTGCGTTGCAGCCCCAAGAACGTTCTTCTCTGGTGGATGTTGTGAAATCGCCGGAGCGACATTCTGTTCGAGAGAGGTAGCATGATGGTATATCGGCTTCGTCGTACCGGTCGGTCGGTGTTGAACGTTTCGGAGTCGACACGTGCAGAGGAACGGAGACCTTCGAGTGGCTTGCTGGCTGTGGTCTTGGCGTTCCGTCCAGGACTGCGCCATCACGCTACTGCGGAGAGCTTACGTTGTTGAACACGACGTGCAATTCACGGCTCACACCTGCGAGAGCGACTGCGCATTCGCCGTCAACACAGCGCCAGGGATAGACGAGCAGCACGAGGCAGGATTGCCACACAATCGCTGAATACCACTCCGTACAGACCACGATTGGCACCACGCTCGCTCCTCCACCGACCGGCCGACCCTGAAAGCATCCTCACACCCTAGCCCTCAGGCCACCACTGCGCTCAGCTCGAGCGCATACCGCACCACTCCTCGTCCTTCTGCCTGCCGGTCTCTGCTCCAAGGATAAGTGCGCGCCAGGCACGCGGTCGCTGATGGTCGATCAATAACAGGCACACCTTCCTGGCCGGCCAGTAGAGCCTGCGCCCGACAATGGCTGGCAGGCCCGCCCACCATGGCAACCGGGGCCAAAGCCAGGACGACGACGACCTGCTGGGCCTGGGCGACCCCAATGATGGGCCATACTATAGCAGCGGACAGCGCCCTCCCGTGACCGACGAGCGCATCCTCCACGACTACGACACTCACGGCCGCATCAGCACGTCGCACGATGACTTCGTGGGCACTCGAGGGATGCAATCTGCCTCCACGCTGCCTGGTGGACCAGGGTACAACCCCTCAGGCCTGGGCTCGCCGCCCACGTTAGGCCACCAGGGACGCAACCTATCGCAGACCTCAGGACTGAACAACTATCAGAGATATTCTGATGCAGACGACCGCTTCTCCGACACAGCTTCGGTCCCAGGAGGATACTATGCAGCCGGAGGTGGTATAGACGAAGATGCGATCCCCATACAACATGGACAGGGGAAACATCGAAATCGCAACAGCATCATGAGCTTGGGGGGAGGCATAATGGGTAGGGTTAAGAACACTTTGGGAATGGGGCCCGACTACAGTGAGATGGACCTGCCATTGACAGAACAAAGAGCGCGAGGAGATACCACGAGTACTGCTGGGCCACCTGGAGAGCGGACGACACCAGGATCCAAGTTCAAATTTGGCTTGCCTGGATTCACGAAGAAGGTCGATCCCTCGACTCTTGGACCGCGAATCATACATCTCAACAATCCGCCTGCAAATGCGGCAAACAAATGGGCTGACAATCACGTTTCGACGACGAAATACAACGCCGTGACCTTCCTTCCCAAGTTCTTGTTTGAGCAATTCAGCAAGTATGCGAACTTGTTCTTCTTGTTCACAGCCATTTTACAGCAGATCCCCAACATCAGTCCTACGAATCGCTACACCACAATCGTTCCCCTCGGCATAGTCTTATTAGTCTCCGCTATTAAAGAAGCGGTCGAAGACAACAGACGACGATCACAGGATAGAGAATTGAACAAAAGCCCCGCACGTGTATTGCGGGGCACGAGTTTCCAAGACGTTCGATGGATAGACGTCAAAGTTGGCGACATCATTCGAGTGGAGTCGGAAGAACCATTTCCTGCAGACATCGTACTCCTTGCGTCCTCGGAGCCCGAGGCTCTTTGCTACATTGAAACTGCAAACTTGGATGGCGAAACCAATCTCAAGATCAAACAAGGAATCCCGGAGACTGCTGGTCTGGTCTCCGCCTCAGAGCTTGCCAGGTTGGGCGGCCGTGTGCGCAGTGAGCAGCCGAACAGCAGTCTATACACATATGAAGCAACTTTGACGGTACAATCTGGAGGAGGCGAGAAAGAGTTGCCCCTTCAGCCTGATCAGCTGTTGCTTCGCGGCGCCACTCTCAGGAACACCCCATGGATCCAAGGTGTCGTCGTCTTCACTGGGCACGAAACGAAGTTGATGCGAAACGCAACAGCAACACCCATTAAGCGAACGAATGTCGAGCATCGCGTCAATTCGCAGATTCTCATGCTTGGCGGCGTGCTGATCATACTGTCCGTCATCTCCTCGGTCGGTGACATCGTGATCCGACAAACGATTGGCAAGAACCTGTGGTTCCTGTCATATGGCGACACCAACCCTGCGCAACAATTTTTCAGCGACATCTTCACATACTGGATTTTATACTCCAACTTGGTGCCTATCTCGCTTTTTGTGACTGTCGAAATCATCAAATACTACCAGGCTTTCTTGATCAGCAGTGATCTTGACATCTATTACCCCGTGAATGACACACCAGCAAACTGCAGGACGAGTTCTTTGGTAGAAGAGCTTGGGCAGGTTGAGTATATCTTCTCGGACAAGACTGGCACTTTGACTTGCAATATGATGGAATTCCGACAGGCCAGTATTGGAGGCTTTCAATACGCTGGAGACGTTCCTGAAGACCGAAGAGTCGTCGAAGGCGAAGAGGGCGGCAATGGGATTTATGACTTCAAGGCCCTGGAGCAGCACCGAAGAGGCGGTGAGCTGACCGAGAACATTCACCAATTTCTCAGCTTACTTGCTACCTGCCATACTGTGATTCCAGAAGTGAAGGGAGACAAGCCTGGCCAGATCAAGTACCAGGCCGCTTCACCCGACGAGGGCGCTCTGGTCGAGGGCGCGGTTGAGCTTGGCTACAAATTTGTAGCTCGAAAACCGAAAGTCGTGACGATCGAAGTTGGTGGCGAGCAATACGACTACGAACTACTCGCTGTCTGTGAGTTCAACTCGACGAGGAAACGAATGAGCTGTATCTATCGATGTCCAGATGGCAAGATTCGATGTTACACCAAAGGAGCCGATACCGTAATTCTTGAGCGCCTTGGCCAGCGGGATGAAATGGTCGAGCGAACCCTCCTCCACCTGGAAGAGTATGCCGCCGAGGGCCTGCGAACGCTGTGTCTGGCAATGCGTGAGATCCCAGAATCGGAGTTTCGCGAGTGGTGGGATGTGTTCAACACCGCTCAGACTACCGTCAGCGGCAATCGAGCCGAGGAGCTTGACAAGGCTGCAGAGATCATTGAGCACGATTTTACCTTACTTGGCGCGACCGCCATCGAGGACAAGCTGCAGGATGGCGTTCCAGACACCATCCACACGCTGCAAACTGCCGGCATCAAGGTGTGGGTTCTGACTGGCGACAGACAAGAGACGGCCATCAATATCGGCATGTCTTGCAAGCTCATCAGTGAAGATATGACCCTACTGATCATCAACGAGGAGAACGCGGCTGATACCAGAAATAACATACAGAAGAAGCTGGACGCCATCAATTCGCAACGTGCTGGAGGCGTTGAGCTGGAAACGCTTGCCTTGGTCATCGATGGCAAGTCGTTGACGTACGCGCTTGAGAAAGATCTCGAGAAGATGTTCCTCGATCTTGCCGTCATGTGCAAAGCCGTGATCTGCTGCCGTGTGTCACCACTGCAAAAAGCACTGGTTGTGAAGCTCGTCAAGCGTCACCTCAAGGCAATCCTTCTCGCCATTGGAGATGGTGCGAACGATGTCTCCATGATTCAAGCCGCGCACATCGGTATCGGTATCTCCGGCATGGAAGGTTTGCAGGCTGCGCGATCAGCAGACGTCTCGATCGCCCAGTTCCGTTTCCTTCGAAAGCTGCTTCTCGTACATGGCGCATGGTCGTATCAACGCATCAGCAAAGTCATCTTGTACTTCTACTACAAGAACACAGCACTGTTCATCACGCAATTCTGGTACTCGTTCCAGAACGCCTTCTCAGGTCAAGTCATCTACGAGTCCTGGACGCTGTCCTTCTTCAACGTCATCTTCACTGCTTTACCTCCCTTCGTTCTCGGCATTTTCGATCAGTTCGTCAATGCTCGACTGCTTGATCGGTATCCTCAGCTTTACCAGCTCACGCAGAAGGGAGTCTTCTTCCGAACACACAACTTCTGGTCTTGGGTCGGGAATGGGTTTTACCACTCGCTGATTCTCTACTTCGTCAGTCAAGCAATCTACTGGCGCGACGGAGTGCTCTCGGACGGCAAGATCGCAGGTCATTGGGTATGGGGAACTTCACTTTACACGGCTGGCTTGGTCACAGTCCTCGGCAAAGCCGCACTGATCACGAACATCTGGACCAAGTATACCGTCATCGCGATTCCCGGGTCCCTGGCCATTTGGTTCATCTTCCTCCCAGTCTACGCCACCGTCGCTCCAATGCTTGGCTTCTCGACAGAGTACAAGAACGTGTTGCCCGTCCTCTTGACAGATCCTGACTTCTGGTTAATGTCATTGGTCATCCTTCCAGCCCTCTGCTTGCTTCGAGACTTTGCTTGGAAGTATGCTAAGAGGATGTACTATCCCCAGGCATATCATCATGTGCAAGAAATTCAGAAATACAATATACAAGATTACCGGCCCAGGTACGTGCTTTCTGCTAACATTCATCTTCGAACATTGCTGACCAATCCTTTTTCAACAGGATGGAACAATTCCAGAAAGCTATTCGAAAAGTTCGCCAGGTTCAACGCATGCGCAAACAACGTGGGTATGCCTTCTCGCAAACCGACGAGTCGCAAGCGAGAGTACTGCAAGCGTATGATACCACGAGAGAACGTGGAAGATATGGTGAGATGACCAGCGGGAGAAAGTAAGCTGTGTCTTCTCTATTCGATGCATGCAGTGCTCAAGCATGAGACGCTGTTGGACGCATGGCGCAGGCGTTTGTGGCGATGTGTTGTATTCCACGGGAATGTTATCACTAGGCCACGGCTCAAGTGAGCACGCTTTAGTTCCGCAGAAGTCCAAAATTGCAAAGGACGGAAAAGGGCTGCATTTATTACTACCATCGCCACTTCGAGGTGCATGTTTCATGTATGTGTATACTGCGGCTGTAGGAAGGGGAACGTCATGGGAGGAAAGATCATGAATGATACCATTACTATCTCAATTTCTCTTCCTTTATCCAACATTCTCGAAATTAGGAGAACTCGGGCTTCTGGTCCGCGCCCTCAACTGGTTTGGTATAGCTCAAACGATCTTTGTTGTAGAACTCCACGGCAATCTTGTGGTCTGCAGCTCCACCATCAAGACCGCCAGACTTGATGCAAGTGACATCTGGCATGATCTCCAACTCAGTGTACAGCGAGGAGCCGCATGTAGAACAGAACCAATGCTTGTTGATCTTGCCCGATGCTCCAACGGCATCGTAGTCCTTTGGAGAGCCCTTGGTTACGTTGAAGTTACCGCGCGGGACGACGACGTTCGAGGTGTAGGCTTGAGATTCGTGTTAGTGGGTCAAGAATTTATCGAGGCTGCTTTCAAGAGCTTGGGTTGCATACCTGCACCTGTCCACTTCTGGCAATCTACACAATGGCACAATGCGGTCACTGCTGGTTCGCCTGTGTATTCGTAGTTGATGGCACCGCACATGCAGGATCCTTTGGCCATGGTTGCGAGGGAAGGGAGGTTATTCAAAATTCAATAGTTGAGTGTATGGTACAAATGTAGTGCGAGGTTCTCAATTTGAACAAATTTATACGTATGACAGATCTCAAGCGTTTGTGGACGAGGAATTGGCTTTTGATGAAGGACGAGACAATGTGAAAGAGCTGAACCTACTCTTGTATGCTGTTCGTGCGATCGCTCTAGATGGCGCCTGCTGGGACCTGACTTTGTCTTCCTGTACCCCTCAGCAAGGCGTCGCGGGCATGCACCATGGTTTGTCATGGCCAACGGGCGTCGCAGCGCGTAGGCGGAAAGGAATGTCCTCAATGGGACAGGTCAGCTTGTGGAGGAGGCAGCTCAAGTGGGTCCAGGCTTGACGATCTTGTTCGGGCAGGAGGAAGCCATGCTTGGGTCGTCCGCGGACATGAGAGGAGCCTTGTAGTTGACATGGCTCTTGAGATGGAAGAGAAAGGTATGAGATGAGACTAAAGATTGATATGCGCGGAGTTTCGGCCTGGAAGGTGCACTCCAGAAGCACGCAAGAATTGGCCAATCCGAAGGCTTGCGGAAGCAAGTCCGACCATCAGGGTGTTCTTCCACCGCTTTCCGGGCATGCATAAACTGACCTCACCCTCGTTCGCTCACAACTGCAGTCCTGCTGTCGCTTAATTGCGGAGACGCTCTCAAGACGACGCCCAAGAGTAATCTTGTCCCGATCTGCTCCAAGAAACGGACCCAAGTGAAGACCTGATGTGCCAAATGGATGCCTCAGCAATGCCAGCATCCATTTCTGTCACCACAAGGGAGCTTGGGATCTAGCTGTGAGAGTTGTCGCCATGATCTACAGATAGCATGGAGTGCCTTAGGTCAGTTGCGAGAATGTGTCGTCTCGTTCGTGAGGCAGCTCGGTGAGTCAACTGAATGCCCAAAGCAATCTTGTCCACTGCGAATAGAGCCAGAATGCGTGAAATGAAGCACGATGCCTCCATAAGATCGAAGAGGAAAGGGCACGAAGCCGCTTATGCATCCCTCAGACCAATTTCCTGGTTTGCTTCCATGCAGAGTGGATCTTTACCGAAGGTGAGCTTGGACAATAGTGCTCACTTGACTATCACCCAGGCCATGCTCCCAGCATGATTTGACCAGATTGCTTTGTCTTCTTCCACGCTGCCTTCAAAGCGCCACTCCTTACACCAGCTCGAACTCTAGCTCGAACACGGAAAATGCACAACAGAAAACGAGTCGTCGCCGACTCGAACGGCTCGCCAAGATTCACCCAAACCGGACCACTACAAGCAGCAAAGATGAAAAGCCGCACCAAAAGCGAAGCAATCCACAGCGAGAACAACTACAAAGCACAATGGTACGCTCCAGAATCTCAACACAGAGTGGATAGTGTCATCGACTCGAGCCAGCGCAACATTCAGCCTCCTTGCACGAAACACACAATTCGACACTGCTATTGCAAGAGCCCTAAGATCTTTCGAGAGCTCTCACAAGAAGACTGGAAGACACATGTGCGCCCAGTAATGAGTCCGCAGCGTCGCAATTTCGGTGAGCCGTACGACACTTTTCGGCAACCACTTGATCGATTCAAGGGAGGTTCTGTCTTCGAGGCGCGAGATAAGTCCAATCGATTCGAGATCAAGACTCCACCAGATCTGGACGACTTCTACGACTCTCTGCGAAGCCAGAGATACATGCGTTCTTGGGCTCCCGTTGAGTATGGAGAGAATGGCTGGGGGAAGGAGCCGCGATGCCCAGAGGATGCGGAGGATGGAGAAGGCACACAATGGGGCCAGGGCCAGGAGAACGAGGGGACAAAGTCAGCAATCCATTCAGGATATGAGGATATGGAAGTCGCTCCGAAAATCGTCGAGCCAGACAACACGGACGATCTTGCCATTGAATGGCTTCAAGGGCAGTTAATTGCCGAGAGACGGAGAAACGCTGCCCTTGAGAAGCGAGTGAGAACGTTGGAAGAAGAGTGCAGTGATCCTTATTGCTAGAGAGGTAATTACACAACAATCAATGTTGGTCGCTCTCTGGGTATCTCTCAATTACTAAAACGCCTGGAAAGGTCCATCAAACGGCGTGGAGCGACGCTGCGAACTGCGAGCGTGCTATGCCGGACCTCCTTTTCTCCAAAAATCAATGCATGCCAGAAAGTTCGGCGTGGTGCTACTCAATGGCTCAGAGTGCACTGCAAAACGCGAAACAAACCCCAAAACACTCGTTATCCTGCCCAACCCAACCCTTTTTTCTGATTTCCTGCTTTTTCTTCTCAATCCTAATGTCCCAACGTAACGCCTAGTGCTCCGAGCCCTGGCCAGAGCGCTTCAAGTCCTTGATCTCTTGCATCATTTGAAGCATCATGGCTTGTTGTTGCTGCATCACAGCCATGAGGTCGTTGTATCTCGTGTCGGTATTGGCCGCCGAAGGCGAGACAGGAGTGGTAGACTCCGATGCCTTCTTGGCTGGTGGTGTTGCAACCGGATTCGGAGATCCAGGCGGGAGAGTTGGAGAGTCCTCGCGTGGAACTTCCTGTGGCCGAGGCAGGTCTGGGATAGCTCCGAGCTGAGGCATGTTCGGCGTCAAGATGATGGTCGAACGCTCGCTCATTGGGACACTGTCGGTCGGCGAGATGGGACCTGTCTTGGTCTGGTTCTGATAGTACTCGTGCGCAAAAGAGGTGGAGATGCGCTTCGCCTTGGTGTCATCAACTCTGGCTGACTGCTTTCCAGCTCTGCTTGATTTGTTCTCCTCTTGCACGGCACTGCTGATCTTCCTGCTGCTATGCTTCTTCTCGCGATCCTTGATCTCCAGTGAGGCAAGACGCTGATGCAGGCGAGTGTTCTCATACTTCATCTCGGTCTGCAGGTCTTGGATGGCGGTATCTCGCTCAGTAATCATCTCAATCAAGTCGTCTAGATCGTGGAAATCGTCAGGATCCTCAGGAAGCGGCATGGAAGGAGCCTGTGGTTCTGAGGCAGTGGTCGCCACCTTCCACGGTGATTCGAACGCCGATACTTTGCGACGAGTGGTCGATTTGCGTGGATCTCCGGGAGTAGCTGGTGCTTCGTTCGACCAGCGCATGCCACCCACTGGTGGAGACTGACGGACGACCAGCTCATCACCAGTGCTTGCAGCAAGAGCCGGCTTGTTCTTGAAGATGTCTTCTTTGGGCTTTGGGCGACCGCTGGGAGTCCATGGTGGATCGTAAGGCGACAGCAAGGTCTCGCTGGACGCCTTTTCCTCAATCTGTGGTACAGTAGCTGCCAGGTGCGATTCCTTGCGTGAGCGTGGCTTCGGTGGCGAGAAGGTCGTCTGTGGCAGATAGATCTGTCCATCACTGTTGCGAAGCGGAGACGGTACTGCACTAAGATGATGTGCCATTGGTGAAGATGCGACAGTTTGTTGTCTGTGGAGCGTGCTGTGGGCCACTGCTTTTGAGCTGAATGCTGGTGGGGTAGTCTCATCGAAGGACTGAGGACGCTCCACTGGTATAGCGAATAGACCGTCCTTGGAGTCTTCAGATACATGGCGTGTAGAAGTGCTCGCTTTGCCTCCGAAACCTGCCTTCGGAGTCACGTTCAGGTTGGCCGTGCGCTGCTGGTCTTTGGTATTGAGCATCTTCTCGACCTCATCGAAAGCACGATCGGTGACGCCAGGCTGTGGTGAAGGAGACGGTGGTGGCTCCATGCTCATGAAGGATGCAATAGATGGGTCTTTCGCCAAGTCGGGATACACCATAGAAATGGTGCCCATGTCAGAATTGCTGCTCTGTGCAGTATGAGGTGACCCGCGCTGCCGCATCTGTTCGAGGCGGTCTACTTCTCTCGGAGTGCGCAGTGAGGACAGTAGGTGGCCGGACTGCTGAGAAGTGGACATTGTGGCCGCACGCTCTGGGAACAGCGCCGCGGACCTGCGGAAGTCGTCGGGAGAGTAGACGCTGGGGCTGTATGCAGCAGTGTAACTGCCGCGACGTGTTTCGTGAGGCATGCTGAAGCCCTCGATTCCTAGTCCACCAATACGCGAATTTGCATCGTCCAGCTCTGCTTGATCCATTGCTCCCGGCACGACCGAGGCACGTAGCGAGAACATGCTAGGCTGTGTGACGAGTTTTGCAGCTCCTCGACTGCTGTTGCTGCCGATGCGACTCGGACTCAGTCTGCCCGAGCTGGTGTATTCGCGTGGCTTGCTTGGTGTCTCGTATGCAAAAGCTGGTCGCTGTTGAGCCATGTTGCGGATCGGCGGCTCGTCGGGCGGCGTGTCCTTCGCGGGTGGAGTAGGTGGGACGGCGTTGTCGATGTACTTCAGACTCTGCGAACGACCCAGATTAGATGTGCGCTGAGCAGTGGACGACCTTGAAACATGACGGCTTTGTGCGGCACTAGGCTCAGGCGTGTCAAAATGGACACTTCGCGGTGTGCGATGACCGAGTGAAGTGGCGGCGCGGACTGGCTCTGGCTTTGGCAAGTCATTGGCATCTGAGCGTCTTCTGGCGAAGAAAGACTTGGTCTTGGATGGTGAGCGGCCGAGGCCACGAGCAGGTGGTGGTTGTCTGGGAGGCATGTGAGTACAATAGCGCAACAGTGTTGAGGTCCACTTACTGAAGCACTGCGCGCGCTTTTGGCGGCAAAGGCAAGTCAGGGGCCTGATCAGCATCACTCTTTTGCTTCTGCGCATGCGTGTGAGTGCGGCGAGCTGTCCACTTCGTCACACGTTCCAGGAATGTCGTCTTCTTTGGGCTCTTGTGACCCGGCGTGCGCGGCTCGGTTTGGACTTCATTCTGGGAGACGGTGCTGACTGCGGATGCAAACTCTTCGGCCGTCGACTTGGGCGTGTGCTTGATAACGGGGATGTGTGGCTGCTGACCGCCGTGCAGTTCGAGGTTGTCTCGAGTTTCGAGCCACTCGCGTTGAGTCGGCACGGGAGTGTGCTCTGGAGTGGTGCCCAGATCGATCTCAGGCGGGTTGAGCATGAACTGAGACAGTGTCGTCTGGGTGGACTCGCGGTGCATCTGCCCTGAAGTGGCGACCCGGTCGGTCTCGAGCGAGTTCTTCGGGAACTGCAACCTCATCGTCGGCGACTCTTCTGCGTGCGGCAGTCGCTCGGACGGATCGAGTTCTGGAAGCGGCTGGGTGGTGTCGAGAAGGTTGAAGCCCGGGCGGAAAGCTGGATGAATGACAGTGGGGGGTGTCATTTGGCGACGGGCAAATTCTTGTTGCGCGAACGCGTTGCCCGCGAGCTGGTACCGCTCTCGCTTGAGTTGCCGCTGTTCAGGTGTGGGTGTCTCTTCTGATGATCGTTCGGATGGCCGCTGTGCTGGGGCGCCTTCTGGCGGTTCCATCTCGGAGATGGTCGCGAGCGATGGTGATTTCGCGGAGTGAGAGCTCCGAGCGGATTTACGTCTGCCACTCATGTCAGCGACTGTTTTGGTGATTGGTGAAATCACCAAAACGAGCAAAGTACGACCTAGCAACACGTCAGTCAATCATTCGAGGCGGCGTGAAGGGGGTCGATTTGAACTTACTATATAAGTGGCATGTCGAGGAAGAAGAGAGCTGCGAGCGCGAAGGCGTTTACATACCTCCTCAAGTGAGCCTTCACTAGCGATCATTTTCACAACGCTCATGCAGTAATGTGAAGTGAAGTGCTGGGGCTGCAGCGCGACGGCCACAGTCAGGGCAAGAGCAGCGGCCGTCCTGCGCGCAGTACTTGATATGTTGCGCCTGGTGGCTGGGCGATATCGTTGGAGCTCCCGACACAAGTGAACATCACGGACAAGATTTCTACCAGTGGTGTCGGCTGCGCTCTTCTGGACAGCGAGCGCACAAGGTGCGGTGTCATTCAGCTTGCGGCTCGAGGTAGGAAGGTGCTGGACTCGTCGAGTGGGACCTAATGAAACGGCTGCGCCTGAACTATGCTTCACTTCACATTGTGGAAGGGAGGTGGCTGCCTGGTGGCAAACAGTCGACGTGCATGAAAACGAAAGCTAATCGCTGCATTTCCCACGAAGAACATCATCAGCCTCTACACGTCCAAGTTGCTCCCAGAACGGTTACTGACCTATGCAATCCAGGGGTCATTGTTCCGCAGCAATATCAGTAGTCAACCCAATGAGACAATTCAAAACCAGCACACACACTCTCTCTCACGCAACATCAAAGTGAAAAACTGAAGTTTCGAAAGAAGGCATATAACCTGGATTTGTGTGCCTTGTGTAGACCTGAAGAAAACAGTGCTCCATTTCAACTCCACGCGCCCAACTCTGGTATTGTCCGCAAAGAAGTTAAAAAAAGGTGTTGTCTATCTGAGACAACCCGCATGGTGTATTCACGTTGAAGGTACATGGCATTCGCATTCGCATCAGACTAGCCGCGAGGCTATAGCAATATGCAACCTTTACCCTTTCCTGTAAGCATGTTAGCACAATTTCAGGAACAAAAATGGTTAGTACCAGAGACGGCTCAATCTTACGCTTTGGCTTCTTCACTGCGGGCGGCTCTAGCGCTGCCACAATCGCCTCATCGAACACGTCCTTCAATTTGAATTGAGTGAGAGCTGAGCATTCGACGTACTTGACGGCGCCCAGGTCCTTAGCCATTCGCTCGCCGTCTTCTTTCCGCACGGGCTGCATCTTTTGCTTTGCAAGCTTCTCTCGGACTTGAGGATCGTCTCTCAAATCTGTTTGTGTACCGACGATTAAACAAGGCACTCCCGGGCAGTGATGGTGGACTTCAGGGAACCACTTTTCTCGGACGTTCTCAAATGAAGCGGGTGAGGTGACGGAGAAGCAGACCAAGAAGACGTCGGTCTGTGGGTATGAGAGCGGTCGTAAGCGGTCGTAATCTTCTTGTCCGGCAGTATCAAAGAGTCCAAGGGTATATGGTTCGTCTCCAATCCTACACAGCTGTCAATGCGGTTCAGGCGAGGAGGCGCTGCATACCACTTACATTACCGTCACCGCATAGTTGTCGAAAACTGTGGGCACATATTCAGACGGGAACTTGTTCGTCGTATAGCTTATGAGCAAGCATGTTTTGCCCACGGCACCGTCACCGACCACAACGCACCTAGTAAATAGCTGGTCAGCGAATGCTTCTACCCAATCCTGCAATGCCACAACTTGAGAGGTATCCTTCCACCATCTTTCAACAATCTCGCGTGGGCCACTGATGGTCCTGCGAGCCGCAACTTGCTCTTGATCGGCCTCACAAGCCTGTCGCGTTCACCGCAAAGTACTCGTCCGCGCCACGGAAGTGCGGCAGTCCACGAATCCATGAGGAATAGATATGGTTCTGAAAGGAAACGGGAATGGCATACTTTATCGTAGCAACCACCATTCTGACCTCCTGTGCACAAGTTCTGGACTTGCTGATTGCCTCTCGTGCCCTCTCTCACGTGTCTGTAGCCGTCTGTTTGTCGATTATGCCGCCTGACCTGGTCGACCTCCTTGGCTCAGCGGGTTCGGATTCCGTAGCACCTGATGTGGAGCGCGCGCCTGTCGCAGTGAAATGTTATGTTGCGGTCTGGGAGTACGTGGCCGAGCGAGGGGAAGCGAGGGGAGTTGGAAGTGAGAGTCGAGATTCGGTGCGAGAGTTGGGGCGGTCGCGGCAGCGCAGTATCGACGGTCGTACGTCTCCTCGGCTGGGGCCCGAGTATGTTCGATATGGTACGTGTCAAGCGTGACACAAAGCGCACAGCAGCAGGCGCTGTGGTGGCGCGAAACACGGTCGGTCGGTTGGCTTGACACGTGAAAGGGAAGAGAGCTGTCACAATGGCGGCGCAGAGCTCAGATCAGCGGTCGGTCGGCGCGAGAAGGAGAGGTGGGCGGCGGGCTGTCTGTGCTATAGCGAAGGAGGACTAGTCGCAGCGCGCTATTTCATCCACGAGACACGTCCAACACCAACAGTGTGTTCTTCAAGATACCAAGAGCATGTGTAGAGTAGGACGGAGTGCAATAGGCGATGTGCAGCGTGCGCGCTTAGCACAATACCAGCAGAGCCTGCTGCCCGCCCACCACGCTTTGACAGGTTTGGTGCATCTCCACACACGCCTAGAACAGGGCCGGGGCAGCAGAAAAGAGCGAACGTGAAACAATGATCTGTCGCACTTAGGTCGGAACATCACTGTGATAGGGTATCTAGAACACTTCGCTAGTGGTTTTGCGCCCATTCAGTCATCCCCTAATCGCCGAAGAACGCCTTTCCTTGCCTCTATGCTGTCCCGAGTGCCCAAAAAATGCCAAATGCTCGCTTGCAGTGCAACCAGTATGCAAGATGCAGCCAATTTCAACAGCATCGTCTACCGTGCTCCACATCCGATCACGCCTTCTAAGTCCCAACAAATGCATCGTCATCTATCTATCCGCGAAAATCTCATGATGATTTTCTTATGAGCCTGGTTCTTGAGTTCTGTGACTCCTCTGAGCCGTCGTCGTCGTCGTCTGCTTCCTCATACTCGCCGGATGTACGCATCAGCCTGGTCGTTGACGGTCCTGCGAACTCCTCGCCGCCATATTCGGTGCCGTCTTGTGTGGCGCCAATGACAACGCCCTTGACTCCCTGATCAATTTCATCGAGCTTGTAGTCGTGCATCATGAAGGCCAAAACGATGCACGGTAGCGCCACGAACACCGCAACAGTCAGTATCTTCGTCATCGTCTCCTGATAAGCAAGGTTGATCGCGTCTCGCGTTGGGCTGCCCATGGGCCAACCTCGTGATGCGAGCGTGATGTTTCCGTAAATCTCATCAGCCATGTCCTTGGTCTCCGGTGGCAGATAAAGTGCCAACTTCTTCGGAACATTCGACGTCCAGATGGCGCCGGATATCCCGCTCCCGACAGCTCCTCCGATTTCCAAGAAAGTCAAGAACAGCGCAGTTGCTGCAGCCACTTCCGAGTGACTGGCTGACGCCTGCACGCCAAGCTGTGCAGGTACGTGGGTCAGACTGCCACCCACACCAAGGAAGATCTGCGTACCAACGATCATGGCTGGTGTTGATTCTTCCGTCCTGTATCGGATCATCAAGGCCAAACCGATAGCATACAAGATGGTGCCCGCGACCATAAATTTCTTATAGGACTTGGTGTACTTGATGGAGATCGAAACGATTATGGCCGTTACGGTCGATGTGAATGTGAAGGTCTGTACAATTCGGCCAGCTTTGGCAAGAGGAAGATCCTGGACGACCAATAGGTATGACTGGAAATAAGGATAGACTGAGAGATAGAATGCCACTATGCGATGTCAGCGAGAACGATTCTTTTTTTTTTTTGACATGATGAGACTTACTGAAGTAGAAAAAGGACAGTCCAAGTCCACATAGGAGGGTGCGGTTTTTCCAAAACGATCGGGGAAAGAAAGCATGAGGAGCAAGCGTCTTGTTGCGCTCCCAGAAGGGAATAGCTATCAGGCATGCGGCACCGACCACGAGCATGGTGACCAAATTTGGATTGCTCCAGCCAGCCTTCGACGCGAGGGTCAAGGGAATCAATATGAGGGTGAAAGCGACGCAGATGAGGAACAGGCCAAAGAAGTCCATCTCGAACCAGAGCGTTTTGACGACCTCCCACGCAGACTCGCCTTGAAACGGTGATTCAGGTAAGATGCCTCGTAGGGCGGCTTTTCGCTGATTCACAATCAACGCGAGTGCGAGCGGCAAGAATGCCACTGGCAGGACAATCGTCCATATGCCGTAGCCCCATCGCCAGTTGAGATTCTTCAATACCGCTTCTGCGATTGCTGGACCCAACCAGACGTTGACTAAGAAAGGGATGTCTGGGATCGTGGAGCACAACGCTCGGTTGACCAGGTCACTCGTGTCGGCGATGAATACTTGAATCAAGATCTGGAGTCCAGTCTGTCCTGCTGAATAGAATATTTGTGCCGCTGCATATGTCACAACGGTGTCGGAAGCTGCTTGCTGGATGAAGCCTGCAATGTAGAAAAGAATGGATAGCGTGAATGCTTCGAACCGGCCGAAGACATCGGCGACTTTGGCCATAGGAGGTTTGACGACAGACAACACGACTCCCTGGATGACCAGCACCGTGGAGACCATCGAATGTGACTTGAAGGCGCTCGTTGCGTAGATGGTAAGGTTCGTGGTTGTTTGGCCCTCTAATGACGTCGCATACGCCAGCAGTGCCACGCCCAGGTAGGCCATGTACAGGCCTAGTTTGGACCATGTCGTCGAGATGGCCTCCAGGCGCTTGACACCAGCCTGTCCGGATTCGTGACTGCGTTCGGACATGATGGATCGTCTGTCGGCCTCGGACTGGGCGTGGATGTCGCTGTTCTGCTGCTCTCGCTTGTACGAGGGAGCGATGACGGAGGAGCTCGGAGTGTGAGCGGCCGAGGCAGCAGCCTGTTCCACGTCGTCGTCGCCACCACCATTAGTTGTTTGCGGTCCTGAGGAGGGGAGGAGGGTGCCGTAGTTGGGCATGGCTACGGTGCGAAGTATGCCTCCGCCCAGAAAGATCTTATCATTATCTGATGGGGGGCCGGACGATCTAATGAGACGCGCAAAAGAATTGGTGGAGCCGAATCGTGCTACTGCGGACCGACGACATATATGTAGAACCCTTGCACGTGTGCATGCCGCATCAAATGACAGCCCGCCGCAGGCCAGGTCAGGTCAGGTGCGACGGAGTCACACAAAATCGGGGCGCGCAGCGCGCAGAATAGGGATGTCTTGGGTGGCTCTCTGCACGCGCGCCAGGATTGGCCACGCCGCCCGCCTGCGATCCTTCTGCTTGTTGCTGCGGACAGTTTGGGAATCAAGGCGGCCGTTGATCAGCTGCAGAAAGGCGCGGGCGACAGCCTCCTAATACGTCCGATGACGAATCAGCGTGGGTGAAGGCAGGCGCGGCAATGCCGAGCTCGGCCACCGCGTGGGAGGAAGCAGGTTCGCTAACGTCGCGTGCGTGCAGCGCCTGCGAAGGCCCTGTTTACCTCGCGGGCATTATCGCAAGAATTATTAGAATTCTTGTCGTCTTAGCGATAATAGCATTCGATAATTCTGCTGTTTACCTCGTAATAAGGCATTATTCGAAGGATTATTAAATTATCGCTAAGTGTAGCTAGAAGACTTAAAAGAGTAAAGGAATCTATAATAATTATAAATTCCTATATTATAAGAATTATATCCGTATATAGCGGCTTAAACTACTATTAAGCGCGTGTCGTAGAGTATAGCTATTCTAGTCGATTAGAGATATATTTACTATATATATTATTTATAATTAAAAGGTATTTCTTATTTACTAATTAGCTACTATAAATATACTAGAAGAGGTAGAGAAGGTAATTTTAACGGCCTACGAGATACTAGTTTATTAGGTAGTAGTAGAGT